CCTCCTTCTCTGAAGAATGGGTGAAGTGAATTTTTGTCCTGACTGACAAGCTTCCAGTTTCAGGGCCCCAGAGTCTGTGAGTTGGAAATTATTTCAGATGGGAAGATGATCAGAGGTGCGTTTGATGTTTGATGTTGAAGGCAGTTTGAGGGTCGAGTAAGTTGAACCAAGTGCACCTGTCTGCATTCTGATGAGGCAAAAGCTCTTCTTTCCTCTTGAGATTGCCGCAGTAGACTCAGAAATGCTTCCACATGTGATGCTTTGAGTCTCTTTCATTCAAGACTTGTGCAGAATCACTGTCAAAACATGACGAACATTAAAGGTAAAGAATGACAACATACGGTGATGTACATCATCAAAATACAACACAGTTCATATTAAAGAAAGAACATGACAAGTGAACAAAAAGAAGAGAGTATTTGTATCAAATATGTTGTCTCAGGAGGAGGAAGAAGTTGATTGTTTCACTTGAAATGTGTTGTAAAGCAAGATTAATCTGTTCCATCCCTAGTGCCTTGACACCGCTACCTGTCAAGATAAAGCGCTGAAACATCAAAATCTGCTCTCAGCCCTGCAGCTGTGCCCCTATACGAACACACAGAGGAGAAGTTTAATAATGAAAGGGGAAAATAACGCTGCACACATATCAAACTACATATCTAAACTGCAGATCAGAGAGTCGATAATCCTTATCCCTGTTTCTTTAAGCCACTGTAAAAGTAAAATTAAATATTATTTAACACTTTATCTGTATTGCTTTTTGAAAAAGAACATAAAAGCAACAAAATAAATAGATGAAATATATCACCAGGAGCAATAAACAAGTTTATACATACAGTAGTAATTATGGATTTACTGTATCTTTAGGGTTACTTTCTTGATTTTTACAGACAAAACAGATATTTACTTCACTAATTTATACCATCACAAAACTCCAAAAGTAAATCTTCCACTTCTGCTAAGATGTACATGATGATTAATAAATAAGACTCCAAGTCCTGCCTGGGTCATACTATGTAGCTGCCTAAGAGAAAAATAGAATGGACACTTCAATCACTAGCTTTAATTCAATAAAAAGAATTGGCTTTTAGAAACGTCTGTCTTCACCTATCCATTATGCATGCAATTCCTACAGCAAGGAAAGACTTTGTGGGGAAAATTGACGGGTGCTTGCCACTGAACTTTGCAGTTGAAACAGGTAAAATTGTTGAAACAATGAAACAGTATAGGTTGTACTGTAGTTGAAATGGCAGTCGAAATACAAATACTGAAAGAAGGTGAACTAGAGGTTAAAATGGAAGGGCTGGAAGAAGTTCAAAGTCTTAAAGTAATTTTTTTTGTGCTAATGAGCAAGATGGTGAAAATACCTGCTAAACATCAGCATGTTAACATTTTCATTGTGAGCATGAGGCTATAAAAATCTGTACAGAGCAGAAACAAGCTTTAATTTACTGGATATGGAGTCTATTGAATTGCTATTCTGTGATGTCAGCTGCTTAAAAGTAGTAAACCTGACATGTTGGACTTATTACTTCAGTAATTTCTTACTCAGAAACTGGCGAGTGCTGTAATGCTAGCAGTCACGTAGAGGCATCAGTGACATCAATAGCAAGTGAGGTGTGTGTATCTCAGCCTTTTTTAGCCTTTGCTTCCTCGCTGTGAGTCTCAGAAGTTGTGTGTGTCAGCCAGTAAGCTTTCCTCCCCGGACACTCATTCCTCAACCGTCCCCTCTGCCGACAGAAAGCAGCCGCCGCCTCTCCTGTTTCCTCTCCGCGCCAGGGTTTACAAATTCCCACTGATTTACAAGGTCATAAAACTCACCTCCTCCTCCTCCTCTCCTGCTTCAATCAACCTCTCCAGCTAAAGCAGTTATTTTATAACCCTCTAAGCACATGCTCCCGTACAAGGCTGCCGCAATCGATCTGCTATCTGGTTTCAGATTGCATATTGCATGCGCTCTGAGACACATACATCCACATACAGTATAGATGAATATACGCACTCTGCTTGCTGAATACCACGCGGACTGTCCAAGGACACGGAGGGGAAAACTCTCTTGTAATGTTATCACTCTGTCTTCAGCCTGTTAGTGTTACAAAGTCGTAACTTCGCTCTACTTCACAGTGTGCTGACAGCTGAGGCAGGATTATGAATTAAAGTTGACACAATATCATTTCCTGAAAGCAAAGAAAATCTACACTGGATCTAAAAATGGCGATGCACCTTGCGAAAATGCTATTCTTACATCTACAATTCCGTATTCCTGTCGCTCTTGGCCATGATTTTTATATCTTTCAACCTGTTTCTAGGTTTTTTCTCTTTAAACACACTGCCCTTTATTCACTGCGTGTCCATGTATGTGAGAGGGAATCCGGACATGCTCCAGAGAGCATCTGGCAAGTGATGTCCTCTGACCGTTAAAGCTTTGTGTGGCGACTGCCTCGAAGGGTCACTGCGATCTATGTCCCTCTCACACAGTCACTCAAGCGTTCACAATAAACGCACATCCTTCTGCCCTAAGAGACTATATGATGTCTTTCTTTTAGTAGTGTTTTTTTTCCCCATCTTCTCCAGGGAGTCACATGTACAGTAACTCAACAGTCTTACAGATGATTTCACCACAATCTGACAATGTTCACCTAAAATGTTCATTATAATCCATTTTCTTACCATACAGTACTTCACTAAATCTCATATTATTACAGTATGTTACAATCGCTGTGTAAAATATCACAATCATTCGAATTATTTAGACGAGGCCATTCCCAATCTGAACCATTGACATATATAAAGATGGACGCTGTCCTCCACTTCCTCCCACTGTTGAAAAATGAAGCCCAATTGTCCCAGATTAGTGCGCGAGCAGAGCTAAGCTGTCATGACGTGAAACCTCCTTTTTACAGCAAGCCATACCCGATCTTAACCATCAAAATTTGAACATATATTCACGTGATAAGAGCTACCTAAACTTTTGCCATCTTTAGGAAAAATGTATTTGATATGTTTGTCCCATCCGCTAACACGGAGGTGGCGGTGACGTTTATGAGCTATACTGCAACCAGCCACCGGGGGGGTGATCAAAGTGTTTTTTGGGGATCTGTCATGTCGTACATTTTTTATACAGTCTATGATCTGAACATAAATATATGTATGCCCTTAAGCAGCTTTTGTATTTAAAACTAATGTAGAAGTGTAACGCACTTTAAATATGTAAAACAGTTTAAAATATTTACAGGAATCACCAAACTGAAGTTACTGTTACTTTGTTTTTTAGCCTCACTTCTAGAGGGGGAAACATGTAAAAATAGTACTTCTTGATCCTGTTACAAAGTTTTTTGTTTTTTTTTAAAGTTTGTGTGTGTGCGCCTCTTCTTCAGGCACCCACCAGTAACCTTCATTTATAAATCCCTTCATACACAGATAAATCCTAGCTCATCTCTCCTGAGTGAAAAGATTACAGGATAGTGATTTCACCCTCTAATTAGGACTTCATCTCCCTCTCTCACGCATACACACACACACACCCACACACACACCAGGCTGCTTTAGTTACAGCAGGCTGGCTTGAGGCATCTGATAGCCAGGCCCCCAGGGATCCTGACGAGCGGCTACCTGAAATCTAAACCCGAAAAGGAAGCACAGAGGTAGATACACACATACACATACGTAGAGAGTGAGAGCAGGGAAATGTCCTGGAGGCAGTTTCAAAGGCAGGATTGAGTGTAGGAGTTGTGTGTAAATTTAAAACCGGTAGCTTTTAACAGTAATGAGGCCTTGCTGCCCTATGAGTGTTGAAACCATTGGTAATCAATAATATTCCAGTTTGTATGAGACTGTGTGAACATACTGGTGAATGCGCCTTTGAGGCATCCTGTCATTAAGGAGAAAATGGTCAGCTTTCATCTGCACTGCCTCCCCATAGGGCTCGGCTTTAAGAGCATTCAACTGTACTGTACGTTGCTCCCATATGGCTCAGTCTTTTGAAGGTGCAGGACAAAAAGGAAAAGACGGATTTTCCACTGAATTTCAGCAGGAGACACAGGGGGAGTATTTTGTTTGCAAATTTGCCTGGGTTATACAGCATCACGTCCTCATTTTTGAAAATCAAAGACGTGCCGTGACAATCTCAGCGTGGTGACGATCAAAGGCCTTCTATTATGGAAATAATGTTTCCATCCGAACTGATTAAAAGGAAGTCTTTTTAAAAGTGGCTTCTATGACCAGCTTGACAGAGATTGCCCAGAAAGATTGTCAAAGAAACTGTTGACCTCCTATTTGAAGTTTATCAAAACTTTACGATATCACGTCTTTCTACATAGTGAATTCACAATCCTCCACGCAGGTGAAAGAATGCCGAGGCAAAGTGAGTGAAATCACTGCAGTAAATTCAGGGAATCTTAATCTATAGTATCTTACTTTCAGCAAGAGATATTGTTCTCTGAGGTGATTCCTTGTTCTGAGCACAGTTAAAATAACACACAGCTCGTCCACTATATCAATCAGCTGGGTAACATTCCTGTGTGGTGGAAGTAAGCCAGACATGACTTTTGGTATAAAGGAAGCAGGTTTTTATTGGCATGCCTTGAATGCTTTATTGTTTTTTTGATGAAGGACATTGCGGATCAGGTAGACTTTAATAACAAAAGCAGGGTATGCAGCAATGCTCCTCACACAGTGCTATTTTTAACTCTGCCTGCCATTGTGGCCAGATGGTCAGTCAGGTAGCTCGAACAAAAGTTCACCAGGCCACATAACAAAGTAATGATACTGATCTCCTCTCGAAAAATTATTTTCAAAATGGTTCATTCAAGGATGTTTTGTCTGGATTGCACCAGCTTAACCTAAATAAAATAAATGCTGGTGTTTTTTTTTTTACTAAATTCACTAGATTTAAATTTGTATGAGAGCGAGTGTTGTTTTTTTTATTGAGATAAATTTACCCGCTCAGAGAGGACATTAAAGACTCATCAGTGAAAAATGTTTCTCCCTGTTTGTTCCAGGACAAAAAGAAATACCTGGACATCATCCACAGCTACATGGAAGTCCACGGCACCGTGCACGGCACCAGCACCGTGCACCTGCCGAGCTACGTCAAGAACCACGGCATCCTGAGCGGCCGAGACCTGCAGTTCCTCCTCCGGGAAACCAAGGTGAGTCCGTCCAGCTGTAAATTGTCTCACATGAATAAATGACCCTGCAGGGAAATAAGTGTGTGAGGGTCGGTGCTTATTAGATGGTTATGAAAACCACAAACCAACTCCCACACTTTTCCCTTGGACATTGTTTAAATGACCAAGAAGCTGTGGCCCAGCTAACCTGCAGAATATTGAGGACACGCTGTATCTTTTTTTAAAAACTGACCTTTTTTTTTTATTATTATTATTTTTTTTAATGAGCCGAGGTTGTGAAACCTGCTCTAAACATTCCTGTAATAGTAATCGGTGTATGAGACACTGACATTGAGAAGCTTTTTTTGAATAAAGTGAGCTCATTCTTTAAAAAAAAAATGAAAAAATGGGATTGCTCATATAAAATATTTTCAAAAGATGTAGGTTACCTAATAAGGCATTCACTTTTTATCATGAAAAAATATGTCTGAATACAGCTGTAATTTTTAAGCACATTTCAGTGCTACAATGTCACTTAAAAGGGAAGTTGGAGAGTAAAAAAGAGATATCTTTATGTGAGTGAGTCTGTCCTCGGTCCAGCCGTCCACAGAAGCACTTCTCCATTCACGTCATGACTTGTCCCTTCCCCTCACTACTCAAACCACTCTTATTCACAAAGACAGGGACACAGCCACAGAAGCTGCAGCCAGACTGGATTGTATTGTGTTGAGTGACATGTTCACAGAATAATAGCTTTGTTTTGTAGCTCTGCTGAAAGCTGTGAAGTGGAGATCCTGTCACTTCTAAATGATTTAATCAAATGCACGATAAACAAAAGTTGTTGGAATAGAAGTAAAACAAGAAATACAAATTTAGCTATCAATCATGCCTGATGGTACCACTCGAATTTTCTAGTAATTTAGCTACACATTTAAATTCTTCATTATTTTTATTTTTTTTCTAAAGTAGCTAAAAGCAGATTTGATCAGCTGTAGTTATCTAATATAATTATCTAATAAATGATGATGTGCTCATTGATTGAAGCTAAAGCTAGAAAAAGTGAGCAATCCTCACCAGTTGATGCTGCACGTGGAAGACGAGGGAAAAAAGAAACGGCATTGTTGCTGTATTGCAGCGTAGAGCTAGTTAGTGCTGGTATTATGGTATTATATGTGTGAGAATGAAAAACTGTTAACAGCTTCTAGGATGAGGAATGACAGATTAGTCCAGCTACTACAAAGCTGTATTGTGTATGATTAGCACTATGCACTTTTGTAATGTAGTACCCTAATGTAGTCAGCTACTGATGTGCTCTTTGGCCTTGGAGGTAACGCTAGGTTACTGCTCTAGTTGGTAAGCTAGTTAGCTGGACATGCTAACATTTGTAACTTACATTAGAGCAGACAAGCGCTGTTTAATCTATTTTTCTACACTTTTCTATACTTTTTCCTCTTGGGTTTTTTTGTTTAGGAAAGGCTAAAAAGACAATTATAACCATCACTCTTATCACTTAAATCGCAGGAACTACTTTGCAGTGAATTTACACTAAATTTTATGGAGCTGCCTTGCTGTTGCCATAGGGGAATGGAATTAAAATTACATGGTCCTCAAAAACCTGACAACATTGTCTGCTGAAGGTGAAAACCATCATTAGTGCTGGCATTGAAAGATGGAATCTGTCTTTTGGCTCCAGTCATCATTCATTTCAGAAGAATAAGGTGGAAGAGAGCTTCGATTTCTCTCACCCCTAAAACCAGATGCTCTCTCACCAGACCAGGGCGGGAGGCGAGGCAGACAGAGAGCGGAGAGAGACATCACACAAGAGCTGGGGCAGGGATGAAAAGAAAGCTAGAGAGCCATAGATCATGATTCAGACTTTTATAGAAAAAAAGATGGATTGAGATTTAAACCCCTTTTGTGCTGGAAAGATATTGAGTATTGCTTCAGCCAAAAAATGATTCTTGGCTGGCAAATCCAGCTCTGAAACGCTGAGCGCCTGAAACCAAGAAGTCAGTGATGTTGGAGGCATTTAGAGAGAAAAGCAAAGGTGTATTCTGCAGTGGAGCAGATCTTTAAAGAAAAAAAATACAAAGAGAAACAACACTCAGAAATTTGTACCCGAGTGAGTTTTGGTTCGCTGGATTCGTGTAGCCTGGAGAGTAAACTCTCAGCAGAGATGGGATAGAATACAAACTTCCATATCCTCTCATTACATGTAGTTGTGCATGGAATAGGGGAATGGCTTATTAAATACCACAAAAACCCAACATTTTAGCCGAATTGTTGTTTAAGCACTAACAAGGAAAACAAGGAGGTGTTGTAGGTGCAGTTTTCCTTGTGGTGCTTAAACAACACATTTACTGTTACCTGCAATTAGACTGCCTGAGCTAATTGGTCTCGTGGGGGTTTAACTATTGACAGTGTATTGTAAAAAATACTCTGGATGTGGAGGCGCTTCTGTGAGGAACGATGTCGGTGTTGACGTCTGACATTTGATTTTTCTCCCAAACCAAATTTCCTGAAATAAACTGTGACGTGCTGCGCTGTATCAGGGGAATAGTGTCAATGATCAAACCGCTGAAGTGAGACAAAGCTATACAGCGTCATGTTGCAGGCTGATGGAGTCAAAGGTTTTAGATTTTTCTGACTTTGCTTCTCTTCTCTTTGCTGTCTAGCTCTTTTTAATTGCCTCCTGCTGTCTGCCTCTGGTTTAGCTTACACGTTTCTTATTTTCTTCCTCTTTCACACTCCTCCACAAACAGTACATTATATATTAACCATAAATTATTAATAATAATAATAATAATAATAATAATAATAATAATAAACATACATTTCTGTGTAAAACTAGGAAAGAGTCCTGTTTTCAAGATTTCATACCAATATATCTTACCAGCTATAACCAGCTTATATCTTATACATCATGGTCATCATTTTCTGTGTAGTGGATAACAAACACATCCTGTGGCAGGTGCTGGAATTAGAAATACCAAGAAAAAAACAACGTAATTAACTTGCTGCCTCATTAAACTCAGCAGCCGCCATGTTTTAAGAGATGTGGCACAAGCTGATGCAGAGCCATTAGACTCCAAACATTTTGCGTTGAAGCACAATAGTGAGCTGGTTCCTGTTTGTACTGTTCCTCAGAAAGCGCCACACAATCATAAAAGAAAATTATTTTGTGAGCTAGTACCAGAAATGTGTTATAAGTAGTATAAAATTAAAATCATTAACATTGTGTTGTTATGTGTGTTTTCATGGTAATAGATTTATGCAAAGGTCTTAATCAAAGTTAAATTACTCCTCTAACATTGGAACGACCTCTGCATTTAAGCACCATTGCCATCATTGTGTTGCCTGTGGAATTGAAGCCTCTTCGTTGAATACATATGTATATGTAGGTTTATGTTGGCTTCATATTGTGTATATATAAACATGCTTTGATGACTCTCACACTTGAACTACTCCGCTTTATATTAGAGGCAAATACTGTACTTATAAGTATTTATTCCATTTATAGTATTTAACTAGCGAACTAGCTATACTCACTAGTTACTTTGATTCTAAATACAAAACATGTGATCAGCATATAAAGCTTACTGCCTTATTACAGGTTAGACTCTGCACACAGGTGGCTGATTAAAACTATTCAGGTTGGAGTTGTGCAAAGCATTGTGGGATTACATTAGGGCCACGATGTACGAGTAAGTCCCCAAAATATTATGATTTTATCGTTCTGTGTATGCCATTCTGCATAATAAGTAGATTAGGATATATGTATTATGTATTGAAAATCATGAATGCATGACTTTTACTTGCAGCAGAGTGTTTTTAAATTGCGGTATTACTACTTTTACTTATACAGCTTTAACGTGGCAGTGGGTTAGCATCAGGAGGATATAAATGTACACAAAGGAAAAGGAAGACAAACCAATAGAAGTAAGATGTAGTGTCTCAGGAGCTGAATGCCCTTGAACATCAATACACAAAACTTCTTTAATGCATACCATTAAAGAGCTTTCATGTAAAATCTGCGATTCTTATTGATTTCTCTTTTTAAATCCGTAACAGTAACATAGGAGATGCAGACGTAAGTTATTCATTTCTACCTTTGAGTCCTTCACTCTGTATGGATTCTCTGCCTTTCTTCTCCACCACAGAAGCTCTCTTTCCGTCTCCCCTCTCCTCATCCCCTCCCCTCCCCGCTCCCTATAAATAGTGGGTGACTGTTTCTCAGCATTGAGGAGCTTTTGCATGCACACACAACATACACACACGTAGAAGAAGTAGCATGCTCTGCTGCCACCTGTTGGCAGACGTCTGTTGCTAACAGTGCTTTAGTTGTGTTCACATTTAAGATGGAGCATAAATCACAACCCTGGTCTGAACATTGAAGTGTGCACGGACACATTGAAGTGTGCACGGACACACTTCATGGTACAACACGTCATTGTGTGTTAAAGAAAGAGTGTGTCGTGGATCAGACTTTCTGTTCTGTTCCTATGGGCAGATACACACTGGCCAATACAAACGCACACAGACTAGCCATTGTAGCCGGCCAGCTCTGGCCCTCCAGTAAATGAGCCACTAGCTGCCACCACCTCCTCTCTCCACCTCCTCCCTCCTCTCTCCACCTCCTCTCTCCTGTCTCATGCTCATATTAACAAGCTGCTACTGCCTTGCAAATATTTGCTCTTCCCATCCAGGAGGAGTGAACCTTTTATTAGAGGCCCCTCTAGTTCTCTGTACGTAGTATTTACTTTAAAGTATTTATGGCTACAATCACAGAAGACATAATATGTAGACATTAGAGGACCCATTAGGGTTACTGTATACCACAGTGCTTAACTTTAACCTTTAAATTCAGGAATATTTTTACCCTCAGTTTACTCCTCATTTCAACTTGCATTTACATCTTTACCTCATGTGTATTACTGTCTTTTAATTTCTTTTAAAATGGTTTTAAACGTGCATTGAGGAGTTTGCTTTCTGTGTCCATCCCTCCTGTTTGTACTAGCTATTAAAATATCCCTACCTAACATGCTTCCAATGTAAGATAGGAGACAAAATCCACAGCATAGTTGTAATATGAGCTCATTTGAGGGCCTTGCTCACAATAAATAAATACATGGAAGGACCAGTAAGATAAATCTGGGTGGGTAAAGAGAGCACGTCCCTCATTTGATCACTTCAGTGGCCCTGAGCAAGTCAACTCAACTCTGGTCCTGAAAAAGAGAGCATTGCTATCAGGGAAGCTTCTCTGGATAAACACAGTTTAAACATACCAAGATGTTAATACTGTAAATGTTCATTTAAGTCATCTAAGTCAGTGGTTCCCAATCTGAGGGATAACAAGATGATTAACAGGAGAGAAAAACAGAAAAACTTATTTCTTCTGCTCAAAACTGTGCTTTAATTTTTTTTTAACTTGTCCTACTTGTCCAATTTTTATGTATTCTAAAATGATTCAAGTTAGACCAGGACTCTGGAGAGCAGTTCAGTGTTTGGGTGAAACTGTTTTGGTTAGTAGAAACACTAGTTAACTAAGATGGTTCAGATCACAGCTGTTTTTTTTGATGTAGTGATGAGGCTCTGGTGGTTAAATTAGATTTGTAAAGTCTCATATTAAACATCTTTGCGAGTTACTGTTGTTGTTCTCCTCGGGCTGCTTAGGTTCAGTGTGTTTCCATCTGCAAACTATCCACAGCACTCCCTATTTACCAAACTTCCAGTGGCCTTTGGGAGGAATAAACATTAGAGTGGTGTCTTCACATTATTCTCCTTGTTTTTCCTCCCTTGTTTTATAGAGAAAAAGTGCTGCCTTGGCTGTATTTTGTGCTGATAACATGGGAGGTTTGCTTCAACAGGAGCTAACTGCTGCTATCAGCAAACAACAGAAACTCCTCAACACAGCCAGTGAACTTTCTACCTCTCTACCCTCACAGACGTCTTTGTTGTTCTGGTTTTTTCAGGAGCTGCAAACTGTTGGCTCTTTCCTGAACTTACATTAGCCACAGTGTTAGCACAAATGTACTCCTACAATGATCCTCATCGTGTTTTTTGCACTGAATCTTCATATTGATTTAAAAAAAAAAAAACCCTCCCAATTTTTTTTTTTTTCTCCCTCTGCAGTTGTTTGTGGGTCTGTCCTTCCCCTACGAGGGTCCCGCCCCCCTGGAAGCCATCGCCAACGGCTGCGCTTTCCTCAACCCCAAATTCAACCCGCCAAAGAGCAGCAAGAACACAGACTTCTTCAAGGGTAAACCCACACTGAGAGAGGTGAGCACGTCTGTCTCTTAACTCTTCTGCTCGAGATATGACTTTTTAAAAGGTGTGTTTGATTTTCCTAACTTCTGCTCTCTCCGCAGCTGACGTCTCAACATCCGTATGCTGAGGTGTACATCGGTCAACCCCATGTGTGGACGGTGGATATCGAGAACTCTGCCGAGGTGGAAAGGGCCATCCGCTCCATCCTCAGCCAAAAGGTAAACACAGAAAGCAACACACCTGATGACTTTTGGAACATTTTGATAAGAGATATTTCCTCATGAAATGTCTGCGTTGATATAAAGAGACCGTCTCATAATTAAACAACTAAATTATCTTTTCTTTCTTTTTCAATTAGTTGAAAGTGTCCTATTTTCTTATTTAATATCCTAATTTTTCTTTATTGCACTAAATAAGGACACACAACAATAATGTAAGGGCTGCAATTATTTTCATCATCGACTAATCTTTGATTAATTGTTTGGTCAATAAAACGGCACAGAGCGCAAGTTGGCACATTCACATTATTTTTTTTAAATTGTTGCTTAATTAAGAAAAAATTGCAAATACTTTATTAGACAATTTTTTTAAAACATCATGTAAATGGTAAAGGAAAAGAAGAAAAGGAATACCGTCATATTACTGCGTTAGAAAACTAAGTAAAAAAGATGATGTTAAATGAAAAGGATATAGAGTAATCACGTAAAGAATCGTGTTAATGTTAAAAGTCCAAAAAGTCACCGTGGCCAGCCACATGTATTTATTTACATATGTACTCACTTTATATATCATTACACACTTTAATTAATTGGTTCATTGTTGGCTATAAAATGTGAAAAACCCAAAATATTCACAGCTGAGAAGTTGAAACTAGGAAACTTTCGTCCCTTTTGCTAGAAAAATTACAGTTAATTGAAATCAGATGTTGACAAAGATGCTCGGGTGGAAACTCAGCAGAGGATCAGTGAAAGCGCTGGGGAAAGAGAGAAAGATCCTGTTGCGTCTTCACGTCCAGGCCCATGCATATTTAAAGTCCGGGTTCAGGACCTTGTGTTGTGTTTGTGCCCTGCTGAGCGAGTCGGAACAATGGCTTTGTTCACTGAACAGGCCTGCAGAGCCTCATATGCTTTGTGATCCGTAGCGAGCCGCAGCCTACCAGGCTCCGGCTTGGCTCACACACCCTCCCACTCCTCCTCATCTTCCTCCCCGTACACAAAGAAACAGGGAAAGCAGCGAGTGACTTGGTGCTGCAACAAAGGTTTAGTTGTTGTTCCTCTCTGCTTGAAGTTTTCCTCTGCGAAAAAAGTCTGCGGAGGTCGACAGCGGTGCAGAGAACAGACACACATATACAGTGAGACAAGCTGATGCAGAGTGTCCTGATGTTGTGCCTTGTGTTTGTGTGATTAGATTGAACCCTACCTGCCCTATGAGTTCACCTGTGAGGGGATGCTGCAGAGAGTCAACGCCTTCATTGAGAACCAGGTACTGCCTGTAGATGTATTAGCTCTGCATAAACCTAAAGCCCAAAATGTCAGCTTTTATTGAATCACTATTATAGATTAATAAACCTGTCCCTGTGTCAAATTAAGATGTTCTGCTGTAGGACTGTAAAAACTTTTTTAACTAAACCAATAATCTGATACAAGATTTGTAAATTACAGCTATAGTAAAAAAGGGAATTTGACTTAATTATATTACTAGTTTTATATAGTAAACTAAATAATTTCAATATCCCTAAAGATTATATATTAATGGATTTCGTGAGGTATGTTTTTAAATACATTTCTTCAATTTAGTGGATGATATATAATCTAAATAGAATGTGAGCTTTCCAAGAAAAAAACAAAAACCTATACATAATTCCTTTAGGTCAGTAACATGATTTCTTATCTTGTTAGCACACGTGGGATTTGTAAGTTTAATGTCCCTGTAGCTAGTTTGTTTGTTTGAGCCTTTGCAGTTGTTTTGTGTTTCCACTGTGTGACATTGCGTTATGTCCTCAGGACTTCTGCCACGGTCAGGTGATGTGGCCACCCCTCACTGCCCTGCAGGTCAAGCTAGCTGAGCCTGGACGCTCCTGCAAGCAGGTGTGTCAGGAGGAGCACCTCATCTGTGAGCCCTCCTTCTTCCAACACCTCAACAAGGACAAGGACCTGGCCAGGTGAGACACACACACTCCTGTATATGCTCCCTGACTCCACCTCAGCTTCTTTAAAACAAGGAAAAATAGACTTTTGGATAATTTAAACAAAACACAAGTTAAAAGTATGTAAATATTGTAGTTTATTTTCTTAACAGTGAGAGACAGATCTGTTTAATACACTCATTCCGTCTTCTCACTGCAATGCATTATTATGATCTGCTGTGGTCCCGTCTCTTGCCAGGCGCACCCCTAACAGTGACTTCCTGTGGCGAGTGGGTATCCCTCCCTCTGGAGCCTGCTGGAAGTCACCATCAGGGGTGCGCCTGGTGAAAGATGGGACCCGCATCAGTGACAAAGAGTGTATTGGACGTGGGTCTGTCTCTCACTGAAACCACAGTTGTAGAATAACATTGGGCTTCACAGGTCCACAGCCCAGTGCCTGTTCTTGGCTGTTCTCCTGTGTCCACATGGCGTTTGGTGGGGGTTGAAGGACAGGTGACACAGAGCCCTGTATGCGTCCACATCCTGTTAATTCAGAAAAATAGAACAATTAATTTTGATTGCACTTCTTGTCTTAGTTGACAGGTGGAGTTAGAAGTAAACCTTAACTGATCTTTGCCACAGTTGTTAATAAATTATTTGAGCTGTCATGTTAGATTGTAAATCAAGGTGATACGTTCAGATGTGCTGTGTTTGCAGTATTTTCAGGTAACACCACAGTAATGACACTCTAATTTCAGTATTTGTATTGTTTTAAAACAATTAGTTACAGCTTAAGTAGTGGAACAGTAACGTGTTACTCAACGTTCTACTTTTTATGTGTGTTTGAACATTGTTAGTTTTCTAGTGTGGTTTGGTAATCTAAGTTACTGGATGTACAGATAATACGGCCAAATCTGGGCCAATAGTTAATTGGACTAATGATTAAAACACTACAGTATTTGCCTCTGAAATGTGGTGTAGAAGTATAAATGTGCATAAAATTGAAAAATGAAAAGCTCCTTGAATTTGATCTGTGTTGAAAAGTTTTCAGTTTAAATATTCAGATTCAATTCAGGAGTTCTTTTGAATTAATTTTTTACAATATTTTGATATCTGAGGTTTTGGCCTTCATTTGGTGTGTGTGGACAGATGACAGCCTAACAAAGAAGACGAGGACCCTCTGTTGCCTTCAGGGAACGTAGGTACTGCGAGAAGTATGACTCAACACTTTCTATAGTCCATATTCACGTGATTGGTAGTGACAGTTACATTTAGCAACTAGTTTTAAAGTCTAAGAGCAATGTTATTTATTATCCATTATTTGAGTAGATAACATTTGTAACAGTTAAATTGTATACATGTCCCCGTTATTAGTTTGGGAATTAACAAGGTTCTCCAACGTAGAGACAGAGCCTTGTCTGGCTTGTAAATTCCCAACCTAAAAAAACAATTTAAATTATCTACTCACAAAATAGCTAACGTTGCTCTTAGACTGCAGTTTAAAACTTGTTAAATGTAACTTTGTCATTGCCAATCATGTGAATATGGAGTATAGAAAGTGTTGAGTCATACTTCTTGTAGTACCTACGTTCCCTGAAGGCAACAGAGGGTCCTCGTCTTCTTTGTTATGCTGTCATCTGTCCACACACACCACATGAAGGCCAAAAGTCTGATACTGAAGAGATAAGACCTCCAATATCAAAATATCGAAATTTAAAGAAAACTGAAAACTTTTCCTTTTATTTTCAGTACATTGTTGTATTTTTCAAATGATTGACAGATAAAATTCAAATTGAGTATTTCCATTTATACTTCTACACTGCATTTCAGAGGCAAATATTGTAGCGTTATCTACAGATTAGTTCAAATATTATATCTGTACATCCAGTAACTTGAACACATGTACTTACATTACCAAAGCACACTAGAAAACTAACAAACACAAAAAGTACAACACTTAAACTATTCTGCAAAATGACGTCTTCAGTACCAGTGTTACTGTTCCACTACTTTAGGCTGTAACTAATTACTGTGGTCTTACCTGAAAATACTGCAACCACAGCACATCCAAACATATCACCTTGATTTACTGATTTATAATCTAACAGTTTAGATCATTATTAACTACTGTAATGAGGCTCTGTTAATGTTTACTTCTAACTCCTGTCAACTAAGTGCAGCTTACAGGAACGCTGCCCTCTGGTGGACAGGAGTGTTAGTAACTAGTGTTGGATAAATTTGTCTGACTAAAATAATGTGTCTAAAGTAATTATTTTTCATTAACACTGGACCTTTTAATCCAATGTTTTCTCTTGTGTTATGAATGTGATGCAGTCGCCGTAACCTTTCCCAACTGTTTGTTGACAGCAGTCCTGTGCTTCACTCCTCGGCCTCCACAGCTGAAATAGACAATGTAGATTCTATAACATTAAATACATTAATAATAAAAGCTTTGTTACATATCCTTGATATCAGACATTTTCCTCCACAAGGTATGTGTAAAGAGCCAATGATATAACAAGTTTATGGCTCCATATAGAAAAATAAACTCAGAGCCAGTGTGTAATGTTCTGTATTTTTCTGCATTGCTTTTAACTTTTACATAGTTTGTTCTTGTTGTTTGCTGCCTCTTGTTTCATTTGCTTGTTGCTTTTTTAAAATTGTAAGCTTTGCTATATAAATAAAGTTTTATTACTATTAATATGGTCTGTTTTGATCTGAACAATCAGCCACAGCCAGAGGTAGAACTGGAAAACTGTCTTCTATACAGTTTTATGCCCTAATGAATCAACACTTAAACATAAAATTTTAGTCATAGCAAGCTGATAAAGTCTCTTATGTCATAAAATAATCGAAATTCAGAGCAGGCACTCAAACAGTTTGAACACTGACCCATCGAAATCCTTGTCCCGCCTGCTTCATTTGCATGTTAACTAGTAAGGTTATATGCAAATGAAGCAGGTGGGACAGGGATTTTGATGGGTCAGTGTTCAAACTGTGTGGTTTAAAAGGCTTAAAGACTTTGATGAGCTCAGATAGATAGTATAAGACTCACAGCATCTGAAGCTCATTTAAAGATATTGAAAACACTTAATATATTAATTTCTGCTAATAGAGCCTCTTAAATGTTGGTTCATTCAGGGGGAAAATATGACTATTGAATTGTCTAAAATAAGTTTCAATCCCACAATAAAGAGAACTGTACAGAAGACAGTTCTACCTCTAGCTGTGGCTGATTGTTCAGATCAAAACAGACCATAATAGTTTATACAGCAGGTGTAGCTCAAAGTGCTTCATAATAAAGTGAAGCAACAGAATAAATTAAAACAAGTGCAAGTAAGCAAATGAAACAAAAGAGGCAGCAAACAACTATGTAAAAGACAAAGTGTGAAAGTTAAAAGCAGTGCTGAATAAATAAACACTGGAATAAATACAGACCTAAAAAGGTAGTGACACATTTATATTTGCCACAGGCAGTATGCAGAACATTACACACTGGATCTGACAGTTTATTTTTATATGATATGGATCCATAAACTTGTTAAATCATTGGCTCTTTACAGATACAGATCCTTTTGTCCAGTCTGTTTTCATTTGTGGTTTAAAAATGTTCACAGCTGTGTGTCCTTGGGTAGGAAATTCCATAATAGTTGAAGACATTTTCTGCTAGGATAGTCAGCAAAGAGCTGGTGGTTCACAGTGAAAACTCATCAGGTTTTATACAGTTACATTACTGACTGACAGCCAATAGGAAACATCAATGCTCACTTCTTCCCCACCTGCTCTTTAGCATTCTCTGTGTTTCACTAGATAAGTTTTGTTTATATTAATTCTTAATGGTCATTTTGGACCCAGGAGGATAACAGGTGTGATTTTATCATTGTTTTTTTGCTGCCATCCAAAACTTTACATATGTGCAAACCCATAAATTATTTTTTCACCATAACTATTGAAAATAGTATTTTCCACTTGTAAACAAGGCCTAATTTTGTATATTTAACTGAAAAGGACCAATAATACTGAATATATAATTGACAATTATATATCAATGTGTTGGTCTTGACTTGCTTAAAAAGGTGAAAAAGAGTTTTTTCTACATGTCCTGAAAACAGTCTTATGTCATTGGGTCTTTTTTGACCTGGGAGGACTACACAAGGGTTAATTAACTAACTAGCTTAACTGACATGATACTTAATAAAATAAAACTCTGAAACACATTCCTACATGCACACATTTATAAATATGTATAAGTCCTAACTACATTTACAAAGGACTGGAAGTTTAGTTTATTGATTTTAGTTGTACAATATGCTAATGAGGAGGTGAGGAAGAAGTGAGCATTGATGTTTCCTATTATGTATAAAACCCTAATGAGTTTTCAAAATAAAAATAAAATGTTTATGTATTTTTATTAGTTAAAGCCTAAATAAAAAGGAAATATTTGAATTAGATTTTTTTTTTAAATGGGATAGTTGGTAAATTGTTGGCATGGCAACAATCCAAAGTTGTGGAAGTAACCATAAAATAATTTCTCCAAAAACATTTCTATGAAAATTAAAAAATCCAAATTATAATTAGTGAAAAGCATTACTTAAATAGTTGAATTAATATTAGTTCAATTGGTATTTGAATGTATACTAACACACCTGTAATAACAAGGACGTCATTACCTTGATCAAAAATACTCAAATACATATTTATTTATTTTAATCATCCTCACTCAGTGTTTTACATTTGATGTCATCAACTTAGATAAACTGTTTGAGGGGTATCACAAGTCTTTGTTATACAATTATCCTTTTTAAATGCAATCAATAGTTAACAGTCTCAGAGCAACCTTGTGCTGTGTAAGTTATTTACTGTCCAACAGGTTTTAATGCTCAATCACTTCCATATATTGACATATAGTTACCATATGGAAACAAATACATTTATTTTATATTTTACAAAAATCTTATCACATCTAATTTTAATTCTAAGTTAACTCCCTCTGGATCAGTGGTTCCCAACCTGGGGACATCGCAGGGGGTGCTTTGTCTGCTGAGGTTGTGAGGTTACCAAAATTATTTACAAAAATTAAATTTATAAAATCCCAGTAACACACCCAATTGGATAATCAAAACTCTGTATAACCCAAATTGAAACATATTTTTGGTCCACATTTAAATTCATTAAGCTATTTATTACCTATTTGATGTCCTGGTCATGTGACGTGTATTTGTACTATCAAAGTAAAAGACCCTCTTTTCACAACTAAACAGTAAAACATGGATTCTATATTACTTTTAATTAAATTATCTTAACACACTAGAGTGTATCAATGCAGAATAAGTGTAACTGTATAATTATGTACTTTCCTTTGCAAGGACACACAGATTCAAGCTCTGAACACTTTTAAAAGCCAATTAAAAACTTATTTCTTGAACATTGCTTTTAACTGTGACTTTGATTTATTCTTATTGTTGTTAGCTTACCTGGTGTTGCAGGATCAGGTTCCAGGTAGACGGGGGAGGTCAGGTGATCAGATCCAGGAGTCTGGATAAGAAATGATAAGAGAGTTAGTGTTTGTACTGCAGGTAATGAAGTCTTTTAGCTGTATAAACACACATTATTACATGTATACATGTCCACTGGGTGGCAGCACACCACAGGTTTGAATTCATATGTTGTCATTCAGAGTGGTGGCTTAAGATGAAGCACTTTAAACTGCAGTAACACGTTATTACCACCGGAGGGCCCCGTTTGTCTGCTGGGTGAAATGGATCAATGCAGGAGAATTCAGTCTAAAATTAAAGTTTAAAAAGTGAGTTTAATCTGTGTCTTCCTGCCAGGTTTGGTGTGGACTGTCAGACGGTGGAGTCGAGTGCCGACACGGTGGTCCCAGCCTACAGCGAGTCCCGCCACCACTGCATCTTCCAGTCTGACCTGCTGCTGTTCAGCTGCGCGGGCGCCCACCCCTCGCTGCAACGCATCTGCCCCTGCCGCGACTACATGAAGGGCCAGGTGGCGCTGTGCAAGACCTGCCTATAGCAGCAACACACAAGCTGATGGGAGGAGAGAGGGAGGGGATGCTGACGGAGGATTTGGGTTTTGGGTGGGGGGTTTGGACGTGGCTGAATGGAGGTTAAATGAGTGCCGTCAATCACAACGCACGCACCAGACTTTGTTTTTTTCGTGGGAAGCGGTGTGGACAGAAACATTTGTGCGACTGCGTCCGTTGATCATATTTATTGTTTTCCACAGCTGCTGGACGTGAAGCGGTCCTGCAGCCGACCCGAGCATCCATCAACCCTCTGATTCACCAGCGGTGGCGCTGCCAGGCCCGGAAGCGGCGTGAATTTACTTGAATCAACTAATAAAATAAAAATAAAATAATAAAAAAAAAAAGTCTCAGACTTTAAACCTGCAGCAGAAGAGTTCTCTGCTGCCACCTTGGTAGACTGCACATATCAGCGACAGCCTGTCTGTCTGTCTTCAGGATGACGACAGCGAGGGACCAAGGAGACTCAAACGCCCCCCTTCCTGACAGCCGCCCCACCTTCCTCTACTCTACTCCTCCCCCCTACATCCCCCTCCCCTGGTCAAATCTGAAACTGTTTATTCATTTGGTAGGTTTGCACTGGACTGGCATGCCTGAGGGCCCACATTCCCCCCCCCACACACCCCACACACACACAGACACACACACACACGGGGGGCTGTTCCCAGCCTAACCAGACAGGCTCAAGAAGAACCAGTTTTACACTGTAACTGACTCGTTCCTCTCTTCTGGACGAGAGCGGACATTGTAACGTAGATATCTAGATTTTTATCCTCCAGACTTAAAGCGGTCTTCGTCCCCCCCTTTAAAGACAGGAAAGTGCAGTCGTGGATCAGTCGGTCCCGCGATTTTCATACGTTTACGTTACTCGTTTGAAAATGACATTTTATTTGAAGCTATAAAGCGGATGAAGCCCGTGTGTTTGTACGAAAGGCCAGTAGAGAATGGAGGTCCTGGTCCCACACAGGGGGTGAGGGTCGTTCTCTGTAGCTAAAAGCAGTCGCGTACAGAGTCGCAGTGTCGTAGGATGTCGTGACGTTGTGTTATAGATGATAGACCGTCGTCAGTAGCCGTGGTAACACCTAGATGGGCTAGGAAGCCCCAACAACAACAACAAAAACAACAACAACACGTTCTCCCAAAGCCTGCACAGAAACATGAAAACCTTACGAGATGTTCGTCTGTGTCTTTTTTTACGTACACGAGTCTCAACACAAACATCCACCAGACAGCCCTACAAGCAAACTAAGCAACACAAACATGTCAACAAAGCCTCACATCTCATTTTCTTTGGATAATCATTTAGGACTTTAATTTGCCTGCAGGTTTGCGAACATAAAAAAAAAGTGATTAAGGTAAAAATAAAATACGTAGTTCTTGTGGTGAATGGAAAAAATGCACTACGTTAATCTATTCGCAGGTTTAACAAGATATTAGTAACACTGTATATTGTTCATATTGGTTTTAAAGTTTCTTTTTTATTTATTTTATATACACAGATCTTTATCTCTGTTTTGCTGGAAAAAAATCTTGTTTTTTATTTATAGGAGGGTCTCTTGCTTTTTTCCTTTTTATAGATTTTTATTTATGAGGAGTAATTTAAAAAAAATAAAATAAAAAAATAAGCGTACTTATCTTCAAGTGTATGACCGGGGGGGGGGGGTCTTTGTCTGCTTCTGTTCAGCTTCCAGCAGTGATGTGAGGAGGAAAATAATCATTGTATGCAATGTTGGTGGGAAGTAAGTTACTTTATTTCTCCATTTCTGAGCTCAAATTGGGACAGAAAACTATTTTTTAAGCACATTAATTACATTTTGTTGAGAAATTGTCACAAAGAATAATTTCATTCTAATATAACTCCGATCCTACTTTCACAATTTTATATTAAATGTTTGGACAATTAACGGATTTGATATTTTATTTCTTAAAAAAAAAAAAAAAGGCTAACGTTAGCTACAGGTTTTTAACTGCAGAAGAAGAGTCCTCTCATCACTGTCTCTTGAAGACGGACAGCAGTGGACAAACATGGATCGTGGTGAAAGCCAGCAGGAGCCTCACACACTCTGTGCTTTGATTTCCAATCGCTGGTTTTATTTTGTTGCACACTTGTAAACTCTGAACCTGTACTTCCTCTCTGTGTCAGCTCAGACTGTTTTTATCTTTTTTTTTTTTTTTAAAGGAGTCAGTAATCTGCCGCCAAGTTAGTGTTTCAAAGAACATGATGTGCCTTTTTCATGGTTAAGTTTGGTTCTGCTGCAGCGTGTCACAGATCAGGTCAAACTATTCAACATGTGAACCTGAAACAACTTCCAGCCTTCAGTCCTAAATTAAATCCACCGAACAGATCAAGTAATCTGTTCTCTCTCATTTCCTGAGTTTTGTTTAGTTAAATTGAAATCATTTTAATCTTTTATCTAATTTAATACAATTTAAATCAGTTAATTGAATCTGTTCAAACCTTGTGATTCGCTGGAGTTGCTCAGATTCTGTTTAAAGTTTACTGATTAACTTTTAGCAGCGTAAGAAAGGGTAACGCCAGTGTTAACTGTCAGTTCATTCAGATTTACATGTTTTATAGTAATCAGATTACACTGAATTTGGTGTTCTTTATCCTAGTTAACAAACGAGGAAGAGTCTTACTGTAAACTGTATAAACTGATGTTTTGGACTAGCACGTGTACGCTTTAGTGGGTTTAATTTCTCTAAACTAATTACTCACAGCGGTGTGGGTTCAGAAGATAGAAACTACAGTGGTGTTATCCTCATTGAAAAAAGGATAAAGTTCACGATATTCAATCACTTTTTTTATTGTCAACAAACTTTCTATACCCTGTCTGTGGTAACTATTAGTTACTACAGAAGACAGAAATCTTTACAAGAGCTTACAAAAATATATATAATTAGATTGTTTTCAAAAGGCTAAATAATTTCCTGAAGCTCGACTCTTTAGCAAAACATCACTTAAGAGAAAATAGTGAATTTGTTGGGGACTATTTTCAGCTGTGGATTAGTACATATTAGCTTTATACCAACATTGATTGTATAAAAGTTACAGGTTACCCTGAGCAACACTGCGGCTCACTGATGTGTCTTTAATGGAAACAATGGAGCTCTATGGCACAAAGGAATAATATGATATGTTATTAGAATACATTCATTGTTTCCTTCATTTGTTGACAATAAGAAAACTAGAATATCTGCACTCTCATCCTTCTACATGTCAGAGTTCAAACTAAAAAAATCTAAACAAATAGTGAAACTATTATTTTTAAATAAAAATCAAGAAACATTTTGACACGTCCTTAAACAAGAGACCACCGATGTGTTTCTGTGAGCAGCTGTTTGGACGAGCAGTCGGTCAAACCTGTTTTGTTGCAGTAAAAGCCTTATTTACTTTGTGTTAGTTAGCATGCTATTGATCAGATTATCAACTGTTGGTTTCAAGAGAAATCAGCTCCATCAGCAGCAGTTCTTTAAAATGGTCTCCTCACCATATCTGTCTTTGTTAACCTCAGCATTGAATGTCTCCATTGTAAAAGAAAACCGGCTACTTACAGTCAAACAAACTCAATCTTTTGTTTTTCAATCTCAACCTTGTCTGAAGGTCCGAGCAGCGAAAGGTGAATAACGCAATGACATTTGTGTTTTATTTTTGTTTTTCCACAGTCCTTGACGAGTAAGAGGGATATAACTTTATTTTTAAATAAACCTTTTTTCTGTGACAAAAGGCTCCGACTCTGGTTTAATATTTGTTTTACATCACAGTAATACAGATTCAGTATTTACACCGGCACAGAAAGTACAGTCAGCAGCTCGAGTCCCACAGTCTGTTTCAGTGAGTCATTCAGATATGGAGATACATGTGAGCCTCAATGTGTAGAGCACAGATAGATCTTACAGAGGAATTACTACCACTCGTGTCTTTATATGGATAACAGCAAAGGATCAGATTCATATTTTAAGCTCAGCTTCAGTTTATTTGTTATTTGTAATTAATAGAGCTGAAATAAATTGGTAAATAAGAAAATGTATTATTTATATAATATTTGATCATTTGTAAGTGAAGGATTTTTTTTAACCTTATAAACAAACTGTTACAACTTTTTATATTATATAAATAAAACAAATTGATGGACATTTTTAACCAAACAATTACAGATAATAGGGAGATGAATCAATAAAGAAAATAACTAGCTGTCCTATATGGTAACAATTCATCTACAAAACAGATGTGCTTCCAAAAAGTGTTTTTCTGAGCTCAATGTCACATTTTAGGCACAAATATAAACTCCATAAACTGATTCTTCTCATAACTTAAACACAGTCCTAAAATGTGACTAAACATAAAATCAACAGTAACACATTTGTGCGCCGTCTAAATTCACATCACAGTGTGTACATTCAGTTACAGTCACTGCAGCAAGCACAGACTTGAGGAAAACCTATGACTACATCTGACAAAAGAACCAATCCCTTCCCTTCCTGCCCCCCTTTTAATCTCTGACAGTCACCTGATCATTACATTCACGCTCCACAAACACTGATCAGTAAGATTTAAGGCTCTGGAGCTAAAAAAATGAGCCCAGATGGGACGGAAAGTTGGGTCAGTTTGGTTATTTTAAAAAGGTTGTTCTTCCATATTGAGGACCTACTGTAGGAAAGAGCTTCCTTCTCAACGCCTGCGAGCAGTTTAGTTGCCACTGTGCTTCAGTAAACTCAATTTTGTGCTTCTATTCACATTCACGTCTACATTTTCGGCTCATGAGCTGCAGCTCCAACCACACTGGAGGAAAGTAAAGAGCTGAGCTGATGAAAGAGACCTAAATGAAATACATAGCTAACAAAAAAAAGGTCATCTTTAGTCATAAATTATAACTATTACTCCACAAGTCAATGGACTTTATTCACCAGAATGATTCGATATTGGCCTCAAAAGCAAACAGCAGCTGCAGATAAGAGGACACATATTGACTCTGCACAATCAAGAAGATAAATATTGACTTCTCTGTTCTCCAAAACTGTCACTGCAGTATTTGTGATGTGGCCAATTTCACCAACGTGATCAGTGGTTACACAGATTGGGCATCACGTACAAAAACAGTAAAAAGGTGAAAAAGAGGGACTAATATTTTACCACTTTAACACTGCAGAGTTCGAAATATACGCGATGATCCTCAGTTCAACAGATTTAAATGTCATCGTCAGTTTGGCCTCACTCTGCTTTCATGCAGGAGTACACAGAAAGTGGAATCCTTCACAGTATGATAATGAAATATTTCATAATACAAAGTGACATTTGGTTTCCTGCACGCTGTCAGCACTGAGTTCATTATAGATAAGCTCCAGTCAGGGTCCTTCATCCGGCAGCAGCACAAGAGGAAACGCACCAAATGCTTCTCGTCGTGCTAGAAGGTTACAAAGCCCCAAGACTAAAACACTCAGACACACAGAGGCTGAGCTCTCCACTCACTAGTCTCAGTCATTGCTGGTGGGTGCTTGTGTGCTGATTACACTGGAACCAAAAGACAGCCAATCAGAAACCAGGATAATGCTCCTAATACAGAGTGTTAACTAACTTCTGTCACTAAAATGAGCTCAAAGGAATTCATGGCTCTTAATCACATGACCAGAGGACTCATTTCTAAATATTGCTGCGCACAAAAAAGTTGCCTTAAGGGCGGTGAAATGTGCGCACGCAGTTTTTCCCGCAAAAGTCGGAATTTATAGAGAAATTGTGAGGTAAAGGATGCGTGAGGTAAAGGAAGGTTTCTACGCATGCGTAAAGTTCACGCAACGTTTCAGACATGGTAAACGAGGCCAGAGGACAAAAAAACATTAAACATAAAATCACCACTACTCATCAGTACATGCCTGCCTCTAACTGTGGATATATTTATTATTATCACTACAAGTATCGATTAAACAGCACTGCTGAAACCAAACTGGGGCCGTTAGTGTCAACAAAACACTGAAACAAAATAAACAAAGTAGTCTAGACGGAATTAAAATATCTGCGCCTGAGGAAAATATTACGCCAAACTCCCTTTAAGAAATACGTCAAATGAACAATTCCTTAGGTGTCCGTATAAACACATAACTCTAATAACGCAGGATAAAGAGGGTGATATTACGACAGCCTAATTATCAATTCGGCATCAATATAATCTATAAAGATTAACTGTATTTCAGTACAGACTGTAGGCTCAGCTCGCTACCAGCCTCCGTTGGTTAGTCGTGTTATTTTAGTGGGAGAAGACTGAGGGAATCAGAGGCGGACAGCTTATAAAAATACGATTTATCAATAAAATAAAAGCTTTTTTTGTTGCTCAATATTCGCCGAATTAAACACCGACTCACAACAATGTTAATTCACTGTCTGTCGTGTGTGTGAGACGGTTTTTGAGGAGTTTTTTTCGGTCGTTACCAAAGTAACTTCAAGGTTTGCTGGTTACATTCCTGAGCTATTCATTATCGACCGTCTACGGGTGACAGGTGTGCGCCGCACGGGTTCATACACCGGAATATGTTTCTACTAATAAGGCCGCAGGATTTAAACCAAAGCCCGAACCAACTGATAGTCTCCAAACCAATGAACACAAACATTAGGAAATTATCTCTGAAACCCACTGTGACACTCCCCAAACATTTCCACTCACCGCTACGACGAGCGCTAAAACCTCAGTTAAACACACACACACACACACACACACACACACACACACACACACACACACACACACACACACACACACACACACACACACACACACACACACACACACACTGAATTAAACAACGCAATAAAACTGCCCCGAGGAGGCAACAGAGACCGAACAGGGCAAAAATAATAAAATATTAAAATCTAGCTCACCTATTTTGAGTCCGTGCAGGTGTGTGTGTGTGTGTGTGTGCAGAGACACTGTGGGAGGCCGCAGGTGAAACTCATCAACTAATCAGCCTCCAACCCACAATGCACAGCGGCTTCACCCGTTTCCTTTCTATTGATCCTGACACATATATATGTTTTTAATGATGGGTTAACTCCTGTTTTTACTGGTTGCTGCAGCTTTTGGCTCCACTGTAAAGATGTTTAATGTCGCACCTTAAAGGTTTTTATCTCTACTGACCCTCAGTGCTGACAGTGCGCACGGATTTAACTTTTATCTAATGTATTAAAGCTTTCTTTGACCTGTAAATGTTTGTCCACAGACTTCCAGCTGTATTAGAGTCACATACAAATATATTCACAAGTGTTTCAGGTACCTCTTCTGGTCAGTAGATGGCGCAAGCATAATGACATTAACTGCAAAACCCAAATATAAAAAGGTGGCAACCTGAAGTACACGGAGCTAGTTTGAACCATTTTCCTTGTGTGTGACGTTCAGTGAGGTGGAGGGTGAGTCAGGTCAGGGCTCTGTGTTTGAGACTGAATGCCAATAATGATGATTTTTTTTATCCTCCAGGACTGTAAGCTGGCATTAGATTGCTGAAACAGTGCCCACTCCAGGCTTCCCTGCTCTCACTACAACAGTCCAGATAAATATTGTAAACAGCAAATCACATTACTGAGCCTCTCTCTCTCTCTCTCTCTCTCTCTCTCTCTCTCTCTCTCTCTCTGTGTGTATATATATATACCTGCTCCCTATGCCAAAAGGGCCTTGTACTGATATATCCTCTCTACTCATAAAAAAGGTAAAACACCATTAATACTCCACTGCTACATCAGCTACATCAATCAGTTTGTACTGCGACATTTTATAGCACAGCTAAGCAAAGGCCTCTAGGAACCATGGGGAAAAATAAACTGCTGTGTTTTGACAGGGCGATGAGGTGTAACTGAGGTATTGTACATCAACTCGCTGTACGGAAAAAGTGTTATGAGAGTTATGGACTCTCGGGGGGTCCATATGTCTCCTGCACGCTGCGGTCCGAGCTCCTCTCTCCGTCCTGTCGGTTATTTCTGTCTCTGAGTTAAGTTTAACTCCCCTCCACAGTTCCCTCAATCTCTTTAACCCTCTAGTTTAAATATGGAGGCAATGAAAGAAACAGACTGCCCCACTCACTGTTAAAAGACAGATAATGATATAATATTTACACCAAATTGTTTAAAACACTTAAAAGGTGCCAAGAATTGTATCCGCCCACACTGCCGTCTCCAGCCGGGATCCTCAGTTCAGATCTTTGAATAGGAGGACTGTACAGACACCGGCGCCTCTGCTGGCACCTCGAGGACTCAGTTTGATTGTCTGTGGAGACTGTAGGGACTGAAACCAACGTCCCTCTCCTGTCAGTCAGTTAGTCAGCCCCCCTTCCATCCCTCCCAAAAACCCTCCTCTTCCCCCTTTTTTCTTTTCCTCTGTGGTCCGTCACTCAAAGCGCTCGTAGTTCCTGGTTTGACGGACCCGTGGGACCATGTCCAGCAGCAGCCTGCGGTGGAGAAAGAAGAGGGTTTTTTTTAGAAAGAGTTGATGCAACACAGTGGGGGAAATAAGCATATGTGTATCTGTTTATTGAGACACTGCAGACAGGCTTGAATTAATTTTAGGTTTTGGGCGTTTTTCAAGGCAGAAAATCTGCATCTCAGCACTGATGATAAAAACTCCCTTCAGAGAGCTGAGGAGAAAGATGGATTCAAAAAACCCATCTGTTGTTTGAAGAGTATTGTTTCTACAGAACGGGCAGGAGTTCTGTTTATTGCCTGCATTCAGGATTAATTTTAATTGGTAAAATGGCTGTTTATGGAAGCCTGGAGGTCAGATATAGCTTGATTTAGACGGAGTAATCTCAATAAATTAACCTCTGCTGGCTGGATGTTCCTTCCTATATTGTTATTTAAAATTAAAAACAGAGGAGCTGCTCATATAGAGACACTACTGAACCAACCTAGTTCCTCCTTATTATAACCAAACTGCTTTAATAATAACTCTTGGTCAACAGAAGTCAACAGATATAGCTTTAAAATTGATTTATCAATGATCGATAATGATTTGATTAAAGATGAAGCAGAATAATTGGCCTGTATACTCATAAAACCACCACATTGAACATTTGTGAGTTTATAAATGATTCAAATACTTTTACCAGAATAGATAACTCCACTATTCTACTGTTACTGTTAGTAGGTCGCTTTAAATCAGTGGTTCTTAACCTTTTTGGTGTCAGGGACCCCCAAATTAATACACATCAGGCAGTAAACCTGTATTGGATAAGATGTAGTCTCAATTCCCAATTTTTCTCAGGGCCCCCTGGAAAGCCCTCAAGTCCCCTGACCCTGGACATCTGAGGGACATATCATGCTTTTATCATCTTGTTTATGGTCATACATTCACATTAACTACCAGAAAACTGTGCATATTTCCCTCTGTTAACCAAATAAGTACTCATCATCTGTAAATAACCCCTCTAATAACCTCATGTAATCACTTACTTGACTCCATAGGCGAGGATGATGAGACCTATGAGGACACCTATTGTCCCATCCAGGTACCACACATTGGGTTCGTGCTTGAACACTTCAGCACTGATGAGGATGGAGAACCCCATGACTCCCCCCACCAGTGAGTTGAATCCTGGAAAGAGAAAACAAACCACAAGGTGAGCTGACGGAGGCTTTGTAGGCTCAGTGTTGGAATTCAGCCCTCTTTGTGTTTAAGCTTCCCTCGGACGCCTGCTAAGAGTCCAGAGGACATGTGATATTGACTGCTGTGGCCTCTAACAGCATACAGAGTGTCTAGTGACAGTGGCAGGTTCTTGAAATGCCTCTTATACCTGTCATATGGTGAAAGGTTATCTCGTTAAACCAAAATGCAACTGTGTGAGTGTTACAGACAGTTATGTTACTAGAAATATGAGGTAAATGTGCAACAACATTATGGTCTTAATCTGGACGTACAATGACCGGAGAGTCTGCGGTGTTTGAGCATGTGTGTGTACACCTACCATCAGTGATGAGGGCTCGGCTCGTGAGCACTTTGCCGAGCATAAACTTGACCACAGACAGGATGATGCACAACAAGCCACTGACGATGGACACGCTGAACAGGAATCCATCCTGAGAGAGACAGACAGAAGCAGAGAGAGACAGCAGGTGTCATGGTTTAATGCTGGGTCCTTCCTCAAAGTGCACCACTGGTTGATTGAGCTACACTGTCTGTTGTCAGTTATTATGATAATAGCAGCAATTAAAAGTAAAAATATACTAAACTGGATTTAAACTTTCTTTCCAGTCACCAAAATCCAAACGAGACAAGACAGGAGGATAGAAATGTTGATGGTTACATGTAGATCTTCTTCAATTATTACTATGCACTTACAGCAGTAGGTTTTACAAGCAGTTGCAAGTGCTTTTAGGACTTTCACCCTCGTTTTTGTCTTTCAGGCTAAATATGGGCTAATCTGGGTGTTTGTTTCAACCTCAGCTCCTTCATTTTGACCACTCTTAAACCAAAATACACCCTCTTTATCAGTTATCATCCTAGCTAATTAAGCTGCTTTTATTTTGGAATATTCTACCATTGAAAGATCTTCTATTATTGTTGACAAGACTTCTTAAGGCAGCTGCATCCACAGCGCAACCACAGCTCACTCACAAATGGCCGCGGTCGAGCCACTTATATATCACATCACCTCCCCTCTCGACCAGTCACTCCATTTACACTCCAACATTGTTTCCCTTTGCTCCCCATAGCTCTTATTTTATTGCTAATTTACTTTCTTGTTGCACCTATTTGTGACTTGTGACTCTCACTGGAAAGCCTAAAATGTAAAGGCACAAAGGACATATGGGGGAGAGCGAGGGATGGGTGAGAGAAGAGAAAGCAAGCTGCAGAGCACTCAGTGCCTCTGCGGCAGCATTAATATTGCACTATGGCCTTGGAGCCATGAAAAGCTACTTTGGCGAGCTCACAGACATCAAAGACGAGATGGAGAGAAAACCTCAGCATGCTGCATAAAACCTTAGTCAGTGCTGTGACTCAGCTGTGAAAACAAAATCTCAATAGCATATTATCCTCAAAATATTGAACACATTCTTCAGAAACAAGGACACATCTTCAGTTTGAGGAAATACAAACGTTCACATATATTTTTCAAATGGGAGGTATTAATAATTTGTCATGGTTTTAACTCCTTTACTTTTATGGGATGAGTTGGAGGCTGTTGGGCTAATAATCTACAAGTTCAATCATACTTAAGTCAGGATGTAGATATTAATGGTACCTTTAGATTAGATCCAACAGTGGTCACATGTGGTTCCACAGGGATCAATCCTAGGCCCCTTTTTCCTCCCTAATATATGTAAACTATATGAAATCTGCAGTTGATTGTGAGGTTTTCCTGCTGATGAGTCAGTTTGTAAACTTGTAAACCAGATTAGGTGTTTTACTTGTTTAAATCATCTTGTAACAAACAAGAGGTCTTGTCCAGAAGCCTAATTTCTGTTTAAAATGTTTAAGTAAATAAAAACATTTATTAATGTTAGTTGCAAGATGATATTATATATGGTTTTGATACATTTAAGAACTGATTATAGATGTAATTCCTATTACCACAGTCTTTCTAAGCATCAACAGAACATCTTACAGATTGATAAACAAAAAAATAAGACATGTTACCTTTTTGATTATAGTAAAAAATCACATTTAATTATGGGACATTTTAAGCCATTAAAATAAGTTTTGCTAATAAGGTTTGGTATTTAGCACCATGTCATGTGCATAAATACCTAAATGGCAACTGACTTTTTACAGATGTTTGAGCAAAGCATAGGTACAACAATACTAGTCTGAATTCAGTAAAAATTAAAATAATTTTGGTGTATGAGGGCCAACATTTGGGACAACTTACCAGATAATGTGAAACACTGGAAATCTATTTATTTAAGCTGAAATTGAAATAGAAAAGATGAGTGGATGTACTTGATATTTTGGAAGAAGTGTAGTTTTTGTATAATGAAAAATACCTACAATAATTAAGGTCCACAACGTAGCTGAGGTACAACAGCTACAACAGCTCCTTCACAGTAAAAGCCTTGAAGTGATTTAGGGGTATTAATCACTTTGCTGTGAAGTTGCTGCAGGAGGTGTACTTTGTTCTAGCAGCGATTTAAAATTACACACCATAGGGATGGACATCATGCTCCATGGTATCTGGATATTACAGTCCTCAAAATTCAATACTTAAATTTACTGGTGTGTCTTTAATCTGACACAAACCCTCTTGGGAGCTTTACTGAGAATATAACCACAGTAGGACCACAGTTATTTGATTATTTCTGAAAGTTCTGCTTCCAGTAAGCTGAAATGAAAGATGGCATGGGAAATCCCGCCATGTGACCTTCTAATCAACATTCAGAGTGGCTGAGCTGGCATTTGGCCCTATGGGAGAGGGAAACACACACACACACTAACACACTCACGAGAGGTAGAGCTTGTGACAAAAATACTCTGCCCAGAATGAGAACACAGTGCTTGACATTTACGTCTGACATCCAGAGATCCTTGTGCAGAATATGAAAATGGCACTCTTCTGCTTTTTTTCGGAGGGGGAAAAGTCAGGAAGGCTAACAAGTGCTAAGAACTTGAGAAAGTATTTTTCAGCATTTTTCATTGGGTAAAAATAAAGATTACAGTGTTGTTATGTGGTCTGGATGCTTAGGTCTGGTGCTGCTGCAGCTCCAGTGCACACACATGTACATAAACTAATGGGACATGTTCGAAAAACCTGAATCCGACACACCTTTCTTCTGCATGAAACCAAATCCTTACGAGAAATACAAAGCTAGAGCCTGGAGACGATTAGCTTAGCTTAGCATATCCAGCACCTCTAAAGCTTAGTTCCATCACATAACTCGTCACGAAAGTTGTCGGTTTTACATTTTGTCTTTTGTGAGGATTAAACAAACGAGACGCAGCCTGATAATTAGTCAAGCAAAGATTAAACTTGATGTGAGGAAATAATCTGCACTGATTTTATTTGACTTGTTTTGGGAAAATAAGACTTTGTTTCTATTTTTAAAGGTTTTCTGGTGGCTTTTGGTGAATTTCATATGCCCAGAGGTTGTGAAAGGTCACTGCAGCCCTTCAAATGAATTAAATCTGTTGGGATTTCACAAACCAGTGTTGAAATGCCCGTATGAAGACTACAGCTTCGTTTTGGATGCTAACTGACATTAATTGGGCTCAGGGGACTAGCAGAGCAGGAACAGTCAGGTGTCAAAAACCAAACATCCTCCTCCATGTTCCTTCCTCCTCTCCCCTCTCTCTCTCTCTCTCTCTCTCTCTCTCTGTGCCTCTATCCTCCTCTCCCCTCTCTTTCTCACCGCTGCATACCTAAGCAGCTGCTTACCTTATTAACATTTTATAGCGCGGAGGAAGAGAGAGGCTGGGTGGTGAAAATGAACCTGATTTTCAATATCGGCATACTGAGGAGGGCTGTGAGGAATACACAAGCTGTATATATATATCCAGTCCAACTGTGATGCACCAGAAACCAGTGTGGTAGAACCAGAGTGTGTGACAGAAGAGGAGCAGGTCAACTCAGAAAAACACAATCTGTCTGCCTCACCGCTCCCACAGTCTGCCTTTGTTTATGCTTTGGTGCTCGCTGTCTGTCAGCCTTGTCTCTCTCTCACTGCAGCTACAGATGAAAAGATGGAAAACACAGTTGGTCCAATAAATCAATAGAGGATTTGGAAACTAATTGAATTTTGAGCCCAAGTGAGTTGCAAAGGCTATGTGACACTCTTTATCTTTCTCGTAGTATATTTTTGTTCTGCAGCGGATTCCAAGAATATTAAAAATATGATTGAAGTGTCTCCAGCTATGTTGATGAATTTAGGTTTCTATCCTCTATATGCCACTCCCTAAATCTAACCTTAACACTGTGTACAGTAACCGACTGTGAGTATTTGAGCTGTCTTTCTATATTTCCTCATAGAAAAACAAACTTCTTAATAACAATATCAACATTAATCAATTTTCTATATTACAAGACAGTTAGTGAATAATTAAGTTGGAAAGAAAACTTAAACAAACAAACTGTCATCCTATAAAGCAGTCTGACTTTTGGTCTTTCAACACACCACTAATAAAACCATCACCTAACCCAGTTCCATATACTGGGATAGTCTATACTTCACTATATCTATATTATATAGTCAGGGTCATAGGTCAGCAAACAATAAACTAAACTCAACATACAATCTTTGTAAATATATATATCACATATAAACATATTTATATACACGTGTATGTAGAAATGTGTATTTATTGCAATATCATGCTGTTTAGAATTAATAGGAAATATCTAATTATGCGAACATCATTAGCATAACATTTTGTAATTTGAGGTATATTGTGTTATTTTAACGTCTACATCCTCATTAAACAACATTTTTATCAAGTATCATGTCAGATAACTTCTTTCCTCACTCAGTGGCTCAGTCAGTTAGCTTAGTTAGTTAAATATTTGGTTAAAAACTAGAGATTAGTTTAATCTCAATTTCAGTATTTTCATTCAATCTTAAGTAAAACTGTTTTTTTTTCTCCTGTGAATGTGATTAAAAAGTATTTTTCTAACAGTATGTGTGCTAACATTTACTCTTTCTATGGGCTGTAGTCTGATATAGTTCACATATTCACATTTTAAGATCCTGTACTCCGATCTTAGCTCCTTTGAGAGTCTTGAAACAGTTGTTAGCAATTAGATGACTTACACAACCTATAAAAACAGTCCAGGAGTTGTACAATAAATACAGCTCAATCTATGAAGCATATAATCATCGGAGGCTAAAACAGAGTATTATTTTCTCCAAACTCCTCCGATGTGAATTAGATCTCAGAGCTGAAGAGGAAGGAGGCAGTGAGGAGAACATGAATAATCTCTCTGCAGTAATTCATTGCACCAAAGCATGTTTCCATATTTACTCATCATCATCACTATTACGCTCACATCCTCAACAGCGTTTCTACGGAGATGACTATTGCTCGGCAACAGGGTGATGAAGTTATTCCAGGAAGTGTGAAAGCTTCTGAGTCTTCACACCTGAGATTTGTGACATTCTTCATGCAGCAGCAAAAACAGCGCTGTTACACGTCTGTCACACAAACACATTCACACACACAATGTTAATGGAAATTAAACAAAACCTAATCTGATGTTCAGTCTTAAAGTCACGTTTTTGTGAAATCTAAAGCTGCTGCACAATCATTTTGTTTGCTTTCAGTCCAATTTGTCTTTAAACATCAACATACCTCCAAGCTCGATTGTTTGTTCGGCACATTTTTTAACAATATTATATATATATATATATATATAGTATTTTGCTTGTTTCGAGTAAAAAAAACTACACTTTTAGGTCAAGTTTTGACAAATGTCGATGCACATTTACAGTGTGATACTTGATGTCTAACATTCTTCCTTATGGTCGAGTCTAACCCTCACGTACAAACACACACCGAAACAAAATCCACCATCACAAGACATGAAAATCACTTCCATGAACACACAGCTCACTGCCAGAGTAGTAGAAAGTATGTTTAGTTTAGTGCTTCACATGAGAGATTTCTGTATTTGGGGCTCAATTTGCAAAAAATGTGACGTCACGTATTTCTGTGCACCAATCAGGGTTCAGCAACATTTGTTGATTTGATGTGGTTTGATCAAATCTGATCAAACCACACCCACACAGTCCTGATGAAGTAGATTTGTTTTTGAGTGTTGAACTCTCAATAAACCTAAATAATTCTGTCAAAACCAGTGAACAAAACCAGTATACATTAGAAATATATATATATAGGGGTGTTAATATGTTTCTCTTTTTACTGCATTAAGGCCTTATCAAAATTAAAAAAATATTGATTCATGCTAATATAAGTCAAAACAATGTGACAAATGTTGCAGGATGGACAAGAGTAAAGACACAACTCCACAATGTGTGCTGAATCTGCACAACCTACATGACCCCCACACCATCCAACTAAAGAAGATGAAAGATACTGAGTCAAAACTACGTTTGCAGCCTCCAAAAAAATCAAATTAAAATCAGATCATCTTGACTTGATTTGTGATTTCTTTAGCCAAAACCGTCCATCTGTTCATTAACGACAGTGAGCTTCCTGTTATAGACTGAAAACTCTCCTCTTTGTGGTTTGTCCTGCGGCCTGAACCACCAACCCCCTCCCCCCCAGTGACCGGCACCATGTGACGACCGAAGCTGAATATGTGCCGTCTTATCAGACGCTCTGCCAGTTCAAATGGCAAAATGGGGACACAATCAGCCACGTTACATCTGCAGCTTCATGCAAATCACGTAAATAACTGCCTGCATGTTGTTTGTCTTGGACGCCCAGAAGTACACGCAGATTTTGAGAAGATATTATTAGATAGAGGCACAAAGTCCACAGGGCTTTTTTGGGGCGGATTCTAAGTGAAATCCTGGTCTCTGGCAGACTGGTGGTATTACAGCGGGGAGAGCAGACGAGTCCTGGCTGGACAAAGTGGTCGTCACTATGTGGCCAAGCTTTAAAAATAGCTACAAATTCCACCGAAAAATCTGATTAGAAACCAAAGTTTTGGCTTAAATTCTGCATCCTGACTTCAGTGAGAGGGCCACGGCCATTAAATCACCCTGTTTGACTGAAAGCTGACAGTAATACAGCTGTCATAGTGTACTACTGAATGTTAATGTGTTTAGGGTTTTTTTTTTCTTTCGTGTTAAATGGATAACATAATCTGTCCCATATGGTGGATGTTTTAATCCAAAGCTCTCCTCCATCTCTAGTTTGAATCAAAGTCTGACCCCGCACTACGGTCAGAGTCATTTCTACACACTGATATTTACTGTAGGGGTAAAATACATGGTCCTACACTCTAATCTAGTGTTTATGTAGCTTTATGTGGTGTTTTGTTGTGTAAAAAGTGCAAAATAAACTTTGAAATTCAAAAATGTTCATGCTGCTTTTCAAGATCTGTCTAAATCTGTGTTTTGTGTTTGATAAATTCTTACCACTTCAGGTAGCAGCTTGGTGGCCAGGTCGTGGATGGCCTTACCCAGAATGCACAAGGAGGACAGGATGAAAATCACTCCCAAGATAACACAGGCTCTGCGGAGGAAAAGACAGGTCACTAACAACACATATTACAGTTCCAACTAGGATTGTGTGAACCGATTGACAGCCCTGATACTCCTCAGCTGTCAATACAAATGCTCTTTTAGCACCATTAAGTGGCAGCAGAGAGGAAATTACAACTATCTCCCTCAGGTTTCTTCTCCAGCAGACATTTGGCCCTCGATTCTGATACAACAGTCTACCCCGATGATGAAAACCAGATCAATAAGGAAAATGTGGAAAGTGGTAAAGCCAGGATTTTAGAAATACTGAGCTCATGATTAATCAGGGTTATCTCAGCTTAAAACATTTAGGAAAAAGCCTGTTACAGACTGCAGGTGTGGGTTTAGGTGGGTATTTAGGAGGCAGGGAGGGCGTCTGATGACAGATACAAATGGGTTGCATTAAAGGCAATGTATTGGTATATGTAGTATTCAGTGTTTTTGGGCGCTTGATCCATACTAAGAGCTAAAAGTCAGGATATCTCGGAGTTAGACCATTCTTATTGGAAGTATAATATTAAACTGTGTAAAGATATAACGTAAACGCTTGCTCTGGTGCCGTCATCACAATTCACATTTAGTGCCTTTTTATCTAGCACCATCGGTCAGGTCAAATTGTTAGTACTAATTAGCATATATTAGCATGCTAACATCCTACACTAACATTAGCATTGTCTTTGTGAGCTTGTGAGCGTGTTGCTTGCATTAGGATTCAGCTCACTGCACCACTGCACCTTTAAACACATCTTGACAGAACTGCTAGCATGCACACAAATTTTGGATCAAAAACTGATAAAAACACATTTTCCTGTGACCCTATAAATAATCCTGAATGACAGATAATTGTGCTACACTGATGTACAGAGCGAAGACTTATTTGGAAGCAGCAGATGTCCTTTTAAAACCTTTATCCAATTAACAAAGTCTAGAGGGAGATAAAAACACAATTGGGCATATGCCCCGGTCATGCATGGCTACCAGTGCGTGTTCAATTCTGAAGGCTGCTCTCGAGCCACTCTGTGTCCTGGGTTTTGACCGGATGAGGTAACCAAGGAAACACCCAGCATCCCTTTTGGAAGTCAACAGCAGGACACACACACACACACACACACACACACACACACACACACACACACAAACACACACATATACCCACAAACGTACACACACACCATGGGAGCTCTCAATCCCCTCTAACAGGCCCCCTGATGTTTCCAGCACACAGTGGATGTAAAAATGACACCATATCTGCACTGATGTTGCCTCTACAACAAACAACAAACAAAAAGACCAGCAGAAATACAGTTTTCAATTCATCCATCACATCACAGATGTATGACTTTACTTTATAATATTAACGTCAGCATCTCATTCAAACCTTTTCCACAGTCGTGTGAATAAAGGGGGTTCTGTTTTCAAAAAAGGCTACACATTTCACTGGGAACAAAAGCTAATATGTCTTGTTTTGACATCTCAAGCTTGTTACCGTGGCAACCGGTCTGTACCTGAGCATCACTATTCAGCCACATCTCCTCTATCAAATACAGACAGATAAAATAATTAAGAAGAATAACGTAAATTCCCTGGTTGTGCGTCAGTAGTTTTTTGTCAGTCTGTGACAAAAGAACTACTATACGTAAACACATGGGCACATACAGTACATGTCTTTGTCTGTATGTTTGTGTGTGTAGGTGTTTTAGTTTAGCTTTTTTCTGTGTTTTAACCGCATGAATATATCTGTGTGCATACAGCTGTGTGGGTCTGTGTGTGTGTGTGTGTGTGTGATCCAGGAGGAAGCCTCTTGGTGAAGCCAATTACTGGCTGAGCGGCTCCCTGAACTTTGTCCGAATTCTCCAATTAGCCGCTGAAGTGACATAACGAAGGCTGCAGTCAAAAAGTGACATTGTGTGGATGTTTTAATGCGAAGATTTAACACTCTTGTATATATCTATCAAGAATGTAGCTGATCAACAGACAGCCGTTTATTGATGTGCCCTGCTGACGAGAGCATTGAGACAGGAAATCAAAGCGAGCTCTTCAGATTCTGCCTGGTTCTTAAACTCTGCTGCAGTGAGTTTGTCCCTTTAGACCAAGAATGATCTCATTCAGTGAAATCATTCAGGTGTTGTTGGGAGATACAGTCGCTCTCTCTGAAGCACATTCATGCTTAAAACACTTAAACATACTGACTAATCTATGTCATAGGTGATTTTCATCATCCTTTAAGTGGAAAATGAGAACTGTTCGCTTTACTAAGACAGTTTGTTATACGAATAGAAAAGCTTTATTTTTGATTATTTTTTATTTTTGTGTATTTTTCAAAACTGCAAGAGCTTATTTTGTTTTGTTTACATTGGAAGTGAGTGAGGGGCAAATAAAAGAAAATGTTACTGATTGAAGATTGAGAATCAGTTTTTAGAATATATGAACTAACGACATTTAATTAAAAAACAATACCAACTTTAACACTAACAGTGCCAATTACTAAAACAAATTACATTAAAGCAAGTCTATGTTATTTGGGATTAAAACATTTATTCTAATTCATAAGCAATGACATACAGCCTCTCTTGTTCAACACTCAGGGTTTACTGCGACTGCCTTACTGGGTCTGGTGAGACTTGTAGCTATTGTTAGCAGGTTGTGACTTTATGACTCTTCTCTACTTTTACTACACTACATTTACCTTTACTATTATTTTAATATAGTGGCTCAAACTCCCAAAACATTGACGATCAGATTGAATGTTTTTATTTTCTTCATGCTGCTAACTATTGTCTGAAACATGTCAGATATTAGAATCAAATGTCTGTTTCTGCCTCATCTCCAGAGGACGTGATCTCGTCTGTCATCTCTACAGCAATTAGCAGTCGCTCCTCTGTGTGTGTGTGTGTGTGTGTGTGTACAGACAGATTCACTGTATGAATCTACCAGATGCTCCGACAATAAGGACTTTCTTTCATCTGATTCATTCAAGAACAGATGCTTTTGTTTTGGTTGACTTTCGTTTGCAGTGTATCCTCTCATTAATGATTGAAGGCTCGTCTGAACAGAGCAGGAATAAAGTGACAGACAGCCGAATTACACTCTTCTTTTTTCCCCTCTCGCTCAGTCACCTGCTTGCTGCCAGCACCGTGCCCATTCAACAGGCTCTGAAAAGCCCACCTGACCTCCACACACACACCCCATTCTCAGCCAGGTACAGATAAGATGTGAGGCGCTCCTCTGTGATCGGTCCCAGCGGGCCGAGGCTGACAGAGCTGAAGAGACACACTGTCTGACACACTCCTCTACAGGACAAAGCAGACCACACACACTCACACACTCACACATTAGACGCTTTGGACACATTTGAATGGATTCCATCACCTTTCTGGATTTGTTTGGTCCTCATAGATGGAATTGAACCATCTGGACAAGCTGAAACAAAGGCTCAAAAAACTGCAAAATAACAATATACCAAAATAAAGCTATCAAAACAACGCTTTTTCTTCCTGAACACTGATTTAAAAACAGCAAAACCTATAAACAGAACACCAGGTAATTCAATGTTATAATATCCTTGTTGTGGCAACACTAATTAAAACTCTCAAAACTACAATTTCTTCGATCATTTGTCCTCAATTGTACATCATATGTGATCAGTTTAATTTGGATGGCTACTCACTTATTGTAAGACAGTACATTTGTGTGATCCATCACATCATTAGCACATAATTTTAGTAGTTTTGATGCTTAAAGTTTTTTAGTAAATATAATCCCAAAACTAAAAGTGATTTCAACTTGATTTTAAACCAGGTCTGATCTGGGTGACAGGTGTTTGTACTTACATGTACTCGCGGTGTGCTGAGTGCACAGCTGCAGCGTTGCTGTACCGCCACAGTACAATGACGGAGGACAACACATCCAGCGTAGCATCAAACTGCGTACAGAAAACAAAAAGCACATGTTTTACATTCTCTTAACGACAGCATGCAGTGTTGGCCATCACAGCTTTAGTGAAGTGGAGGCTTAACGGTCGACTTACGGCAAATCCAAAAGCTGAAGCACTGTGGCGCATGATGGAAACAGCTGGAAAGAAAACAGAGAAAGAGAGACTGAACAACAAGTAACACTGGAGCGTTTGTTCTCATTGATATTTACTCAAAACATATTCACAGTTGGAGAAAAATCAATACATCCTTCCATCCATCTTTGATCACCACTTCTTCCTATAAATACTCACAGACATGGATTATTCTGCATATCATGTTACATAAATGTTATGACAAAGTTTCCTGCTGTAATGCTCCTTGTGAAGCTCTCAAGAGATGTGTTATATCTCTGTGTGCAGACATTAAAAACACCAAGATAAAAGCCGCTGTCTGTGTACATGAACAAATAAAGGGAGCCAAATAAAACACGTCAATCAGGAGAATCCCTCATTGGCTGGGTCCTCTCCTGTTTACCTGCACCGATGGATGATTATCACACATGTCCAGAGGTACATTCTCGTGAGGAATTGCATTTATAGTTTGTATAAGTTTGTTCAGCAAACCTGCCACACCGGATAAGCTGTATTTTGTTGACTGAAGTAATATAGTTATCACCATATTATGTGCCAAAACCAGACCCGGATGATAGTGAGCTGTAGATGTTGTTGACAACAAACACCGAGCCAGAACCACTGGGTGTAATCATCCGCCTGCAGTGAGGAGAGAGGTGAGGAGAGACAAAGGAGAGAAAGATGCAGATAGATGGAGGGGAGGAATCCTCTCCTCTCCTCGCAGGTTTATTTTTAGCAAAACTCACTGGGGGCCAGTAACTCGCCTCAGCCCTGCATACAGAAACACAGCACTGTGTGCTATCTCATTCTCTGTGCTTCTCCTTTCTTTCTGCTGCAAGATGATCAAAATCATGATTTCTTCCTTCTGCTATCACCCCCCCTTTCCCCTTTTCCTATCCTCCCTCACTCTTTCAAGCTCCCCTCTTCTTAATCTTCTGTTCTTCTCTTCCTGTTATTGTTTCATCAACATTCAGCAGCTCTCTCTGGGCTGAAGGTGCAATCATCCATTTCCCCAGACCAAAATGAAAACAGGAATGAATGTTGCCTCCATATGCTTTTGCAAACACTTAAGCACACACGGACAACCCTGGAATACAAATGAGTAGGTGGGATTTTTTACGATACCAGAGATCTGCAGAGATGCAGCATGGAAGCAGCCTCAAAACAATCCACAACAACAACTTTTGGTCATTTTAGTAAAAAGTAACATCCGAGCAGGTTCTCTTCTTCTCTCCAGCCTCAACACACAAAGTAACTCTCTGATGTTTGATTTTGAAAAAGAGACGAAACCACAAAACCTGTTTTGCTGCTGGATCTATTTCATAGGGCTGATTATTTGTCACCGAAGGACTTTGAATTCATAACAATATACGAGTTAAAAGGCGACAGTTAGTACAGTCTGCTAACTCATGCACGTCGTCATCCCTTCGAGCTTTAGTATGCAGCTCTACTCAACATAATATTCACTGAATTCAGAACTGTCAAGGCTAAAACCATTTTAACTGGTTAAAGAGTCTGTTTCAGTGAGGTTAGACTGGCACAGATTTACCCTGATGATGCTGACAGCTGTGTCACACCACATTGTCCAAAGTGCTTAACAATTATGTTACATAACTCCCAAAAATGGAAAAACACACTGAAATATGATTTTTTCATTGCTCTGTCCACATTTTTCCTTTTTTTTAAAGCAGCAAAAGCCAATAATAGTCTGCACAATCACACCCAACTAATACATTATGTGTAAAGCTTTGGCTCTAAATGTTAAAATGTTTTTTTGGGGTTGTTTGTCTGATTAACTATCATTACATGGTGTACCTATACATCAACTAGTGTACACTGTATGCAACATATGCAATACAAATAGATCAAATGATGTATAGGAAGGTTAATCTCCTCTCTAAACATCTAGGGTGGAGATGTTATTTAAACCCTGTGTGTCCCAGCTTTCAGTCTGGGAACAGATGTATGAAACAGCAAATAGGAGCTGACAGCTGTTCAAATGAAGGTAAATAAGGAACGAGGGACTGTGTAGACATGCGTCTGCCAAAGTTGACATAAGAAGGAAAAAGTAACAGGTGCCTTCTCTTAGTTGTGCCTTTGACACATCAACTGAGGTGAGCATGTATGTATAAGCACATTAAAGCACACAGCAGAGCTTTTATATGACATACAACTTTACTCCAAGACCTAAATTCCCCAGACAGATGAAAAAACTTCAGTCGTTTCCCATTTTTACACTATTTATTACAACTCATTTGGGATGGAAACCCCACAGATCTGCCAGTAATATCATGAGCCTGTGGTCCAAACCCAGAAACTCACGCTCCTCCCTTATACCCTCTTTCCTTCTTTCTTCTCCTCCTACCTCCTTCATTAGGAGCAGAAAGAAAAAAGAAAGAAATTGTGTGTAAATGAATCTGCTGCGGCTCTGCAGTCGTAAAAGCTGCGATGGCTAATTGGCTCCCAAGAAAGCTGGGTGTATGTCAGCGGGGACGGAGCTCCAGCATCGCATCAGGCTATCACACACACACACACACACACACACACACACACACAAGCACGAGGTCTCCCCCCTCCTCCCTCCTCCCTCCTCCCTCCTCGTCACATCTGACAAGAGAAGCAGGAGAACAGAAGATGAAACACCATCCAAGCTCTGCCGGTTTATTGGCTGTTGCTGGAGCTGCGTTATGCATATCAGTGAAACACTTTGCTGTCAAGGTTGTTTTTACAGTTGGTTGACTGATGGTGTTTGTCTCAGTGTGTCGGTGTAGCGATGCACACGCCTTGTTATTAAAACAGCCGCGAGAGCCTCGATTGCTCGATCACTCATTCAACTCAGTTCTAATCTAATTTCAGTCTAGGAAGGATTGCAGACAAGAAAACACGAGCTGGAGGGGAAATTCTCCTAAAGTCAAACTCTGACAACAAATCTGCTTCAGTTTTAACCAAAAGTGGTTGCTGTGCAGTCAGCTGAGGGTTCTCACACACAACCTGCTTCAGAAACATGTTTGTCTGGAACATTTCACACTAAATCAAATGATAAAACAGATTTTTGTGCCATATACTGTCAATATGTTGCAGGTGTAGCTTAGCTTAGCACCAACACTAGAAGCAGGGGGAAACAGCTAGCCTGGCTCAGTCCAAATTCTGAAAAAATGTATCTGACAGCACCTCTAAATCTCACTAATTAATGTTATTTCCTGGTTGAAGTGTAAAAACACGTGCTGATACGTGGGAGTTATGAGGTGGAACAGGCACTATGCTAATCGCCTCATATTTACCAAATGGTATTGATCTTCTCGTCTAACTCTAGGCAACAAATGTTAAACTTCTTCCTTAACTAAAGTACAGCCAGTTGAGTTAGGAATCTCTATCAATACATTTTACTGTTAAAAGCCACTTCTCTTCCAGTTTAAACCCTTTTTCTTTCTCTATAGATAAACTGGCACCAGCCAATGGGACCATAACCTAAAATATGTGTTGAAATGATAAGTGACAGTAAAACCTCTCATATAGGAACTGTCCCATATTGTCTTTACCATAGACCTAAATCTGCACCTGTCCACCCACAATAAAATTCACACACAGATATGCTAAAGAAGGAGTCTTTATCATGTTTGAGTAATGCAAATATTTTACAGGGTATGTTACCCAGTGACTATCGTTCTGTCAACATGTAAAGCTGACGGGGGAACAGCAGCGGGTGGTGATGACTGCACTGTACGGCCCCTTCATACCCAGTATACAAATACCACATCTCAGTTGTTGAAATTCTTTCATTTCGACCTTTTGTGATCAGCGTGGCTTTAAGGAATAGTTTGACATTCGTCGGATGAGCAGACTCTGCTCTACTGTCTGTATGTTAAATATGAATTTAAATATTAAATATGTTAGTTTAGCATGAAAACTGCTAGCAGAAGGAACAGCTAGCCTGTCTCTTTCCGCCTACCACTAGGCTCATTAATTAAAAAAATAAAGTGTAAAAATGTTTCTTTCTTTAAACTATTTCTTGGCAAACTCACAACACCCAGCCGCTAGTTACCAAGAAACAGTTAGAGGGTGTAAGTCCCACCACAACTTGATGTTTTCACGTTGTTGTTAAGGGTTAAGGGATGGCCGCCTGGCTGTAGTATAAGCATATCTCCTAAAATGTTGAACTATTCCTTTACTAAGAAAGCTCAAAGATGATCATTTATCGTTTATGAATCTGCCTGCTGTGTGGTCATTTTCAGCTTCATTAATAATGGATAGTTATACAAGTGTACTAGTACGTAATTCTTTCCATTTGCTTTCACTCTGTGTGCTTTCTGAATTTCTTCCTTTAAAATATGTTTTATTTGCTCTAGATTACTATGTCACCTTATGGAGGCAGCTCCATACATGTGAAGTACAGAGCTAACAAACATAAAGGAGGATACGGTGTGTTGCTAAAAGATGGTACAGGACTCGCACCCAGTCTTTGCACGGTACAAATGTTCCTGTTTACAACGGGACTCTGCTGAGGACACACTTTACATTCAGTACACATTGGCTTATTTCCAAAGAGAACGGTTTAATGAGTGAACACGCAACTGGAGCCTAGGACTGTTTGCTACTAAATGTTCATTTTAAATACAGCGTCAATCAAACAAGATGCTCCAGGTACAACAAAGAGAAGGTGGAAATATCAGATAAAATTAAAGCAAGGGCGACAGGGACGTTTACAACAGTTTTTCACCACAACAAAAACTTCTGCTGCTGAACTGTGTGGAACGGCATTCTCCAATTTACAATGAATGAACCTCTTTCAGGGTGGAATGTATTGAGCACATGGTTTCAGCAACTTAACACACACGACAAAGAAGGAAGCTGTAAGACAGGCCTGTCCTGTTGCTCTACACTCGTTTCCTTATCAGAACAGGAAGTGGGCAAAATGTTTGAAACAACACTGAACTCAGGAAGAGGGTCTGATTACCAAAACAAAATACTCCAACAGCTTACTGGGTCGCCCCTCACCCAAGCAGTTAACTTTTAACTCTATGCAGCAACAAATCGAATTCCAATTTTTTTAATTACGTCCTCAAACAAGACTCCAATTAATTATTGAACCGTTGAATTTTCCTCAGTCCTGTCTGTTTTTCTCCAGAGAGCGTCAAAATCGAAATAAAACAATTATGTGTTTGTAATGACACGGGCCCAGTGCAACTGCAAGTCAGATCGCTGTTTACTGGAATCACTGCTGCTACATCGACCTCATTCATCTCTTCCTCCACTCATTTCTGCAGCTGATTTGCAAGCAGCGCCATGTTTCATTTAAGAGTAAGAGCAGGCGAGATGTGACAGCCGAGGGCTACCACTGCAGGACTATATAGATGTGATAAAACTGCCTAATGAAGAACACCCTGCATGAACAGATTTTCACATTTATTCTCAAAAACATTGAAAAACAAGCCATCTTTTCTAGCTTTCTTCATTGCTAGTCAGCAACACAGGAAACTCTCATATCTATGCACATCTGCAAACCACTGTTGAGGTGATCAGCCACACTGCAGCAGAGCTTGTCCTCTTTAGTTATGCATCTGTCAAGCACCGATCAGCATTTACTGCAGAGGAGGAAGAGGCATCCGTTGAATATCGCAGTGTGTGATGGTGACAGATGTCCCAAAAAAGACTCACAAAGTCTGTGATATTTGAATCATCAAAACTCATCAACTCAAAACACCGGTGGTCACATATTCCTTTTCTACATTGCTCCACGTCTGTCAAATGTCTAAATAATCTGCAGGTTTCTCTAAAATGTGCCTCCTAATCCAATTTCACTAATTGAAAAACATGGTGAAACATTACCTGAATTAGATCTGCAAAGTGAGTCACTTCTATCCCAAATTAGACAGAGAGAGAGAGAGAGAGAGAGAGAGAGAGAGAGAGAGAGAGAGAAACCTTTGACATGCAGAGAAAAGGAAAATAAAGATAGGAAAGTCTGAGAGACAGTCAGTAATCATCCCTGCTTCTTCTCAATCTCACAGACTGAGTCATCGTATCCATGCAGGGGTCTCAGCCTTTTTCTTCTGAGGTTCGACAGAAAGAAAACACAGAAGCTTACGACAAGGGCAGGCGCTCAAACTCTTCTAAAAGAGTTAAAACTTTAGTAACAGCAGCGGGGCTCCAGGTTGAGTTCACACTACTGACACCAAAAAAACTTCTGTGTAACTGAGAGAAATTTTCATTTGAAGTAAGAGAGGTAGGAGGCTAAAGGTTTAAGGGGGAATGAAACAGGATCTTGGCATGAAGTGTGGACTGTGAGAGCAGCTTGTTCGTGTCAATTACTTGTCCTTCATGTTGTCTGTTGTCAAATACTGTTGTTTAATCAGGCTGTTGGGTGTCACAGTGATCAGCAGGGTGTCACATTAATTAACAACCTGTCCTTCAACTGAAGGACCGAACAACAGGTTCAGTTTTTTTGCGTAGAGGACTTTGTTTCTTGCACACAAATGTAAAAAGCATCAGCTCTTGTGAGACTGAAAGAAAAGTCCACCTAGAGGAGGGTTACTCACTGAAAGCGGCGACGGCCAGGACGATGGTGATCGCTATGGACACCCAGGACACCCACAGAGCTTTCTTCCGATAACTCTGTGCTTCGTGAGGCTTCAGGCGCATGCTGCTTTCTAGAAGACCTGCAGACAACAACACAGGGCACAGATATAACTCTCTGCTTTTAAAAAGACCAGTGTGTAGAAGTCAGTGGCTGAAAAAAATGTACAGCATACGCAAACGCCCCTATCTAGAGCCATTGTTTGGTTTGTCCCTTCTGGGCCACTATAGAAACATGGCTGTTCAAAATGGCTGACTCCATGGGAGGTGGCCTGCAGCGTCTGAAGATATAAAAGCTTCATTCTAAAGGTAAACATAATGATTCCTATTTTCAGGTGATTATACACAAATGAAAACATATCTTTGAATATTATATTACAATAAATCCTCTTAAAATGTTACACACTGGACCTTTAAGCTCAGTTTCCACATTCAGTGAATTTACATGTATATATTATTGTAATACCAAACTGACACGCATTAAGCTGACTCATATTATATGATTTACCACAGCATTACAAATGGAGGAGGAAGGGATTATTTGTGACTGTACTAGTGTGAGATTAGCTGTAATCTGTTACTGATAATTACCAGTAATAACTGTTAATAATGCATAAATCACATTATATGTGTTATATAGTTCCTACGGCTGAGTACAGCGGAGGCTGATATAACGTCATTAGCTACATCATAAATCAAAGCTTTGGACAGATTACAATTTTGAGTCAATGACGGCAATAAATTAAAGTTATAGGGTCATAAAAGTGATTGCAATTCATCCTGAGGGGGAAATGAGTGCCTGAACCAAATTTCTTGGCAATCCATCCAAAAATGGTCAAGACAGTTGACTCAAAATCACAAACGTTAACCTGTTGGTGTCGACAGGATTCATCATCTAGGGATCATGAATGTCTGTGTACATTGTCATGACAATCCATCCAGTAGTTGATGAGATATTTCAGTCTGAACCAGGTTTAGAGGAGAAATGTCTCTTTGGTGGAACTGCTAACAACTCATAGACATCTGAGTGTGTTTTGTAAGGGGTCAAAAACATCCATAGTTTAAACTTTGAAGAGAAACTTAATATTAAATCCACTTTTTTTTTAGTTAGTAAATGATATGTACAGTCACTGTTACTTTACCCTGCTCCCTAGTAATTCAACCATCCATACAGTTTTCACTTTGGTTAAGACCATGAACCTAAGAGGCTTGAATATGTTTGACTTTTCCATTCAAAAATATCACACTAACAGGATTACAGGACTGTTATGTAGAAATACTGTACGAGCAGATTGTTCTGATCTCCTGTTCGCACCCTTAATCACTTTCAGGATTGAGTCTTTAAAAATGCATCATCCCATTACACTAGTCACCTCCAGAGACCCATATTTCAAAATACTGCCCACATTAACATTAAGTGTATTTTAATTTAATATCTAACTACTTAGGAGTGTGCACAGGAAAGAGCTAGAAACAAAAGTACACCTTCTTCTGTATTATATTTAAGATGTGGAACACCTGCCATTGTTTAAATGGCTGCCTCTGGTTTTCACTGTTTCCCAAAGGCAATCCACTAATTTATTCACAAACCTGTAAACACGGCACAGTACTGTGTGTCTAACAGAATGAGGACATGCATAATCTGCGTTTCATTTCCAACCAGCTCTGTAAATAATTGATCATATTGACCAGATCATCAAGGTGTCAGTCATCAGAAATATCGCCTCTTTCCCGCAGATATTAAGTCTGATTTATGCGCAATGTGGAACATTTGAGGGCAATTTATAGAAAATAGAAGAGCAGCTTTTGTCATTATAGTTGAATGAATACAAGTGTAAACAGATTTCCATACATACAGTACAGTATAACAAATATTGGGATTCTCTCCACGGCATTACGCACAGTGTGCGCCCTGGCGACGGCGCGTCCGGTGAATCCTAAACTTTCAACCTCGTTCATATCGCCTACCTCGGTCCTCTATGCTGTCTGTTATCTTCATCTCCTGGTCCATCTTGAAACCCTCTCCCTGACTTTCTGTGTTGAGCTGCTGCTGCTGCTGCTGCTGCTGGGAGCCCGCCTGTTCGCACTGCCCGTTCACGGCCGTGGGGTCCACTGCATCAGGGTCCGGGACGGCGGTGGAGTCTGGCGGTGTGGAGTCCGTCATCTTCTCGGCGGGGTTGCGGTTCCAATGAGGCACTCCAAAAATGTCACACCTGGGCGAGAAGTGCAGGCTTTCAACCGGGGGAGAGACCCAGAGGTGGAGAGGGAGGGAGGGAGGGGGAGACTCCTCGCAGGGCTGCGGGTCCAGTTGCGCCAAACTGCACACTGTGAGGCGAAACAGGACCGGAAATTAGGAGATGTGGACTTCAAAACAAACGCCTGTTTGTCACCTGAAAGAGATACAATGACAAAATGTTTATTTATTTTTTTCGAATAGACAATAAATTTGAGCCTTTTGGATGTTTTTCTTTTCTTTTTGCATTTAATTTCTGTGCTTTAATGATCATCTTAGAGTCAAAAATGACCTTCTGTTACCCAACACGCTGGCTAATTAACACTGTACTGTACTTTTTACTTACAATTGGCTCTAGCTACCTCGACCAGTAACAACAGGAAAATGCTGCTTGCACTTTAATTTTTAGATGGCTACATCCACCACTGCACTACACACAAAAATCCTTATATTCATTATATCATTATATTTATAAAACAATAAATTGAAGTAATTTAGTGTAAAAATGCGGAATGCAGAGCGTTCACATGTCCATTTATATTGTTGTATGTGTGCTTTTACTAATAAAACATCTTAAATTCAAGTTAAAGTGTGCACAGTTGAGGACATGGACTGGATGTTTATTTTGAAGGTGGCAACCGGTACTAGTGTGTGTGTGTGTGTGTGTGTGTGTGTGTGTGTGTGTGTGTGTGCAGTCTGAACCAGCGGTACAACACAATATTCACAACAGGCTCCAATTCGCGACGTCGTGAAATGAGCCACACCTGGACTCTAATTACTGACTCCGGTGGAGTTCACGAGACCTGTGCTCGCGCTGGGTTGCTGCTGGTGCGCCGCGCGCTCATCTGTCCCGTGAGGGCTGAGCGTGCAGGCAGACTGGACCCCTTTCTCACCTGTCACGTACACTGCTTTAAAGATATTATAGTAATCACACATTAAGGTTAATTCCTGACTTGTGTGCAACCACACACACACACACACACACACACACACACACACACACACACACACACACACACACACACACACACACAAAAACACAGATTAATAATCCACAGTGGGCGCGTGAGGGCACCAACCATTTAAATCTTATATTTGAAGAGTGTGGGGTGTGGCGAAGTACGCTTTTGGTTGGAATACTTTATCACGTTACACTGGGGAAAGTAACGTGACCCAGGTAACGACTTGCTAAGACTCACACAACTCTTGACAGGAATATTAAATGTTGAGGAACACATAATAATAATAAAATATAATTAATTTAATATTAATGTAGAGTTAATATTTATTCACACACACTCTACTACAGTACAGCACACACCCTGCAAACAAATAAAGGCTTTTTAAAATCAAGTTATATGTATAAATTGTACTCTACCAACTCAGGCCAGTCAACTTAGTCTTCAAAAAATAATGAAAGTACAATAATTAGTATTTCATGTGAGTAACAGTGTTTTATTCTAGTATCGAGTATAAACAATATGACTGATAGAGGAATAGCTGCAGTTTATATGTTGTGGAGTACTGTTGTTTAATCAGGCTGTTGGGTGTCACATTAATTAACAAACCTATAACCTATAATATAAAGACACAACTGATTTATTAGCAGCTGTTAAAGTTGGAAGTCCAGAGGTGAAGTATTGGAAATGAAGTATCTAATGCTGCTAAAAGACTAAGCAGAAGTTTTGAAGATGTGGGATCGATCTTTGCCCAAATCTTTGAATTTTGAAGTAAACTCTTTAAATAAAAAGAGCTCTGAGAAATACAAACAATAGAAGATTAATCAGAAGTCATGAGGTTGTCTGTCTGATTTCCTCATGACGCTCAGTGAATTTTGTAGTCCAACACTCAAAGCCTATAGCCACAGGCTGCAATAAACAGAGACAGCAAGTTGACAGCAGCCTTCAAAACTGAGTGAATCACCTGAGGGTCAAACCAACAACCTCCTTTCTACGAGCTTTTGGTCTTTTGTTTGGACACCAGTCTTGACAATGTAAGAACTTGAGGTATAATATCATTGTCGGACAGTTAAAACTGGTTTTACTCCTTTAAAAACCTCAAACCTCAAGGATTCCAGGCGGTCCTTGAACACACTCTGCTGTTGGGTCGATGACATTTAGATTCAGTTTTTGACTCTGTTTCATCTTTCATCTGCACGTTTTAGGACGAGTGTTTATTGGGACCGGTCCAAGGCACATCGTGGATGGATTACCTCGATAAAGAATCAGTAGAATCTGAACTTTTACTGGAATGTGAAGCTGTGACAGTTTTTTTTTTTTTTGAAGTTGGAAGAGATTTATGATGCATGATGCTAATAAATGGCACAACTAATACAGATACACGAGTGTCTCTGTCGCCTGCTGTAGCAAGTCATGTGTTGTCTTTTTCAGACAAGATTTGTGCGCTGGTTCTTTTTTGCTTTTGGCCTTTGGGCTTTCTGTGAAGTTGCCTTTGTACTTGAAACTTCTCTCTGAGCGCTGTTAAGTCTTCACTACAAAATTCATTAGGCCTTACCCACTAACTCCGAGCAGTCTTCACCTTGGCCGACTGTATCGGACAGTCGAACTCAGAGGTTTTCTCCTTTAGACAGCAGCCTTAAAATTGAGTGCTTGAATTGAGGATCAAATCCACAACCTCGACACTTCTACACAGTGACTTATCATCCTGAGCTGAATAGACTAGAGGTACTAGAGCTTTCCTCCTTAGAGCTTTTCAACTCTTTGCGTTGGACAGCAGCCTTCAAAACTGAGAGATCCGCCTTAGGACTGAACTCACAATCTCTCAAACCCTGCACGGCTCCCTGTTGAGGGAGCTTAGAGCTTTTGTCAGTCTTCAAAGTGTAAGAACTTGAGGATCAAACACAAGGCCTCGAAAGTTTTCAACAGTGAGCTATTGGGTTGGAGACACTTGAAATCTGTTTCTTTTTAATCAGTTTCTTTTCATGCCTTTATTTGATAGAGGCAGGTCAACACAGACAGGACGACATGCAAGCAAAGGGCTGGAGGTTGGAGCCGTACTGCACCTTTAACAAGCCCCAACTAGCTAACCCCAGTGGATTAATTACATTAGAGACTATTATTTCTTGTGGTACAAGTTTTAAAGAGAAAAATAATTAATAAATGTGCATCTGAGGCATTATCTAATGCTACCTTTTGGTGCCTTTAGGAGAAATCTACAAAATAGACTAGAATAGTCGTAAAATTATGACATTTTCTTTCCACTAGTCTGAAGAAGCAAAATAGCCCAAAATCTCAACCAGTACATTAAAGTTTTTGCCCGAAGAGTGTCTTGCAATGCACAGACTCTGAAAGAAACAGGGGTAAAAATAAGGTACATTTGTGGACTAATTTGGTGACTCAGTTGTCGTGCTCATGTCTTTCCATATTATACTTCACTATGATCTGTACAAAGTCCTATTTTATTGCTGTAACACATCAATTTGTGACATTAATGTACTTCAAAAGACACATAAGATCAGTCTCATCTCTCACTGTGAGTGTTAATGAGGCAGCCTTGTCTGGCTGAATAATCTATTGATGATAAGATGTCACCTGGAGTCTGTCCCCACCACTATACTACACTCTGGATCATGTCTAAAGTCTGCTATAATGATTGTACCAAATAGTATAACAATGTAGGATTAAAATAAAAACTGCAACTTAAATACAACTTTGATTTGTAAGGGCTCTTCACAGTATTACAGTAGTCAATTGTGACCCCTAGTGGCTAATCTGGATATTTCAACCCTCATTGTTGAATATGTTTACTACTAATAACTACAATAAAAAAAAACACTATTAGTGGCTAAAGTTAAACTACTAAAAACAATCTGATAAAATAAAATATTTTACTGTGGACACAATATTATCCGACGCAGCATCAATAAAGTGTAGCCACAATTAGGACCGTGTGGACCTCCGACCACTGGGGGCGCTGTCCAGAAACCAGACAACCGGTTTTAAATCTGCTTCGGCTGCTCATTTCGTCCTTCCGGTGCCCCCATAGCCCCACTCCCTCCCGATGCTAACACCGTCGGGCTTGGCTGTGGGAGCGTAATGGCGGTGCACCGGGGACCCTCCACGAAATGGCTCTTCACCCGGGAGCAGCTCGAAGACACGCCGTCTCGACGCTGCGGGATCGAGGCCGACAGGGAGCTCTCTTACCGGCAGCAGGCCGCCAACTTAATCCAAGACATAGGCCAGAGACTCAACGTGTATCCTTGTGAAACTCAAAGGCTGTCGGACGGGTTAGCCGGAGTTAGCTTATAGAAAGGCCGGGTATGGCCGAGCTTCTTCCACTTCACGTATTAACTCTTGAAGCGGGCTTGAAATGTTTCTTCTCGACACTCTGAGTCCTCTCCGATAAGATTGTGTCTTTAAATCCGCTGCTTTGATGTTTGTATTCAGCGTGCTGCAAGTGTCGAGGCCTGCTTGGTAGCTTAGCCATTGTTTTGTCTCCTCAGGCTGTGGGGTCTATTGTTAGCTTTGTGTCTGATGATATCAGGGATAAATGTTACTGCCACCAGCTGTACGTGGGATTTAAATCCAATAGTGTGTTGTAAAGTAACTAATCAACCTAAAATGTAGGAGAGGTTTAATGACTTCGTGTGGTTTTACTTACAGGATGCACGTTTTCCACTCAACGCTAGCTCGATGCTAATGTGCCAAGGTTTCTGCACTGAAGCTGTAACACTCATTTTAATCTCTCACTGTGTTTTTATTCCTTAACTGTACACCCAGCTCTCAACTGATTATCAACACTGCTATAGTTTATATGCACAGGTTTTATATGATTCACTCCTTCACCAAATTCCATAGAAATGTAAGTACCACTGCAGTGTTGGTTGATATTTGGGCTAATTACTGGTGCTACTGACTGAAAACTGACCCAGGTTTTTTTTTTTTTTTTTTTTTTCTTTCTCCACAGATAATTTCCCAGACTACGTTGTTCCTGGCTGCTAAAGTAGAGGAGCAGCCCAGGAAGCTGGAGCATGTCATTAAAATAGCCCATGCCTGCGTTAACCCACAAGAGCCTGCCCTAGACACTAAAGGCAACGTAAGTAAACTATGACTACTGGAGTAGATTTTGGTTTTTTTTTCATGAAGTTACAATGACATTATGTGATATTCTTCTTTATATGGACTCATTTTGACTTTCCTGAGTCTGTTTTAAGGATGTAAAAGGACGTCACCATGACTCCAGGAAATTATGTTGGACGTTTTCCAGAGTTTTCTGAGGTTTAATTGACTAAACGATACATTAATTGATAAATCACAAAACAATTGGTCGTTAAATAATTGTCAGTTTCACCCCTAAACTGTAGCGTTTGTCTGAGGGATATAAAGTGATTCTGCAGGTAAGATTTGGGTATAACAGACCACAGACCCTTTTCACAGCAGCCATTTTCACATGCAATAAGTAGGGTAAGCACAGGTGTGACCAGTGAAACTAATTCAGGCTCTCTGTTACATTCAGGGTGCAGTCAGTGATAGTTTCATACAGTTGGTAGCTTTCCCTTCGTATGCGCACGCAGGTTTTTGCCATTCAGAGAGAAAGCACATGTGAAGTGGTTTGAAGTCCTTGAATTAAAGGGTGTCTTACACAAAGCTACTTTTACATCACAATGCTCAAAGGCACAGGAGTACCCTCTTCAGAACCTGGTTCTGCAGGACTGCTGATGAGGAGTTGAATCATCAATATATAGTTGTTGGAAAGCAGATTTAAAAGTGTTGATTGATCTTTTTCAGGCATTCCAGCAGCAGGCACAAGAGCTTGTAGCACTGGAAACAATAGTGCTGCAAACGTTGGGTGAGTGCGATTAAAGCTTCAGTACTCCACATACTCTATTTAGTTATTTCTGTGTGTTGAACTACTTTACTCTTCCTGAAGTCAGTCAATGTTATTTCTGTGGAAGTTGGTATTTTTGCATATTTACCAGACTGTTAAATACAACAGGTTTTTATAAAATATATAAATAGGTTTGTCTTTCAGTTCCTTTTTTTACAAACGTCATTCACAATAAGTTCTGCTGACATCGTGCTCGCACCAGTGGCTGATCATCTTCATTTGTTGTCTTGATTGCAGGTTTTGAAATTACAGTTGATCATCCACACACAGATGTTGTGAGGTGTTCCCAGCTAGTGCGAGGTACAACCGTATTTCTCAGCTCTTCTCACTTTCTGTTACTTCTAGACAACTGTGTTCAGAATAGAAAATCAGTCATTCACTCTAAAGTAAAGGCTTTAAATTGCCCGCCCCCTTTTTTTACAACTCAATTTTATGCTGTAATTTGGTTTAAAAAAAGCAGTTTTTCTTAGTGCTGGTCCCATTTTGGAGCATATCTTTTCATCTATGCAGCCTCATTAATGTTTCCAAGCATCAGCTCTTGGGTTCTAAAATGAACTTTCTTCTTCTTTTACAGCAAGCAAGGATTTGGCACAGACTTCCTATTTCATGGCTACCAACAGGTTATTATCCTGTTCCCATTATTGCACTGTAATGGCACACTATAGCTTCCTGTCCTGCAGGGCCCCCCTTCCTGTGTCCAACGCCCTGTTTGCGCCTGAATCCTGGGAACCCCCAACGTGGGGAAGTACAGGCCAGGCTGCTGTGTGCGGTGTATTGTACAAGGGCTCTGTGTTGGCACATAGGGGTTGAATGCACAATGTGGAGTGTAGTGGTGCTGTCTACCTCTCAAGGTTGTTTGGTACGGAGTGCATATGTCTAAGAAAAAAAAAACTCGAACGGTAGCCTGAATATAGATTGCCACTAAAGATTCTTAAACTTATAGAGTGCTTTGGTAAGTATAGTTTACAGTTCTTTTTAAATTTTTTATTTTTTGCACATTTTTCACCCCAAACGAGCTAACAACGAAGCACCAAACTATACTGCAAACTGATCTCAGAAATATAACATAGCTGTATGATACATTTTGTAAGGTAGGGTTAAACTCTTTTTAAATAGCAAATATTGGGGCAGAAATGTTTTCAAGATTTAAATTCACTGAGCTCCTAATTTTGCTATTTATTGTGCTGCTTTTGTGTATTTCAGTAACTGACTTTTGAGGTGTTTATTTCACTTGTTTTACAGAGACTGCTAGTTTGATATGCAAGTGTGGGAGATTGATGTTCCCAGCAGATGATGGTAGACCTGATCTTTACAGTGATTTTTTCTTAATTTTAGTTCATGCACAAAGAATGAAGTCTAGATTAAACTAGTGAATGTACTAACGTTAATAATTGAGAGATCATATTCATCATAATTACATTGTTTTTTTCCCTACCTGTAAGGGGCGAATACAATATGTTGTCAAAGAGTGTAGCTGGAGGGGGGGATAGACAGTAGAAGAGAAGGTTACTTGCATATAATAATGCACAATATATCACAAATGAGGCACTGTTACAGGTGTTATACGTCGATATGTCACAGCTGACTAAAAGTTACCATTTTAATGTCACAAGATAAGTTATGTATTTGAGCTCCATATTTTTGCATGGGCTGATATAAAGTCTAGACAATTTAGTTAACTATATGTACACAAATTGAATTATAACACATTTAAATTACATAAAATGACAACATGTGATTCTGAGATGCGCAATGTTTTAGTCTTAATACACGAAAGACAGTTTGCAGTGTAGTTTGGGATTCAGGGTGCAGAGAAAATTAACCGTAGAAAACCTAAAGCCTGATCGCCCAACATCAGTGTTTCTCAGTCTTAAGCTTCCCGTGTTTGACTCATTGTACACTAATACAAGTAGTGTGTAAATTTCTGTTTAATTTGCTTGTGTAGGAGTAGAGATTTCCTGAAAATATGGAGATTGAGAAACACTGTTAATGTTTTATAGTTTCCCCCTTTTATATTAAAATCCAAACAGTAATTGGCCTAATACAGGTTCAATATATCTACATTTAAAACTGTAAATGTCCCATTCAAACATTTAGGAACATGTCCTAACAAACGTAGGTTTTCTTAGATGTTCCAGGTCTATAAGGTAAGGCGGTGTGTATGTGATGTGAAAAATATTTGGGTTTGATTGCTTTAAACTTCTATTAAATGCAATTAATGTTTCTATTATTTTCTAAAATGCAAAATATGTGTATTCGTATAAAAGCCCTTCAGCTCACGGTTCTATCTTTCTCTCTCTGTTTTTTTCTTGTCTCCTCCTGCAGTTTGCACCTCACCACCTTCTGCTTGCAGTACAGGCCCACAGTCGTCGCGTGTGTCTGCATCCACCTGGCCTGTAAGTGGTCCAACTGGGAGATCCCTGTGTCTACAGATGGCAAGCATTGGTGGGAGTACGTGGACCGCACCGTAACGTTACAGCTGCTGGATGGTAAAGGCTTCTGTCACTAGTTCAATGTTCTCCTGGGCTTGTGTATCATAACATTTGTGTTACAGTCAGAAAAAAGCTTGATGCTTGATTTTGAGGGAGGGGACGCTAGGGTCGCTTTTTTAAAATTTTTTTTTTTTACTAATAAGTCAAAAGTTCTTTTCCCAAACCCAACCTGAAGGTACCTGCTAATTAAATATATCTAGCGGCTGTTTAAGTTAATAGCTGCTCCCTCCACTGAATCTCAATGGGGCTGAATTTGGACTCCGTCAGAGTATTTCAGATCAGCATAAGAGACGGATTACATTAGACTTAATAGAACAGAGAGCTTTTCATGTACTTAAGCTTCAGGCTCGTGGCTGCCTCCTCTAGCCACGAGGGGAACATCTAGGCCAACGGTAAATGGGAAACAGGAATGTAGAGCTGAAACAATAAATTGATTAATTGTTGTTATACAGAGTTGAAAATGTGAGAAATTGCTGCCATTTTATTTGATGTGATTGTAAACTGAAAATCTTTGGTTCTGAAATTGTTTTTCATATAATAGTTTCTGATACCAAATAATGAATCAAGAAAAGATGAAATAATAATAATAATAATGGTTGGATGCAGGTCTCCAAAATACAATTGTTCCTCTTTTTGTGAACTTGATATTAGATCAACAGTAACACCTTTAAATCTATAGATAGTCGAACAAATATGGCTTTATTATGCAGGTAGAAAGACAAAGCAGCTGTCCCTGGTCTCCTCGACTGACTGCTTTATCATATGCAGTTAATATATTGCAGTCTCGGTCATAATCCTTCCCTGTCAGCAAATTGTATCATAATCATGTGTTAAACAGCCTTCGGTATGGAGAGATGATCACTGACATTATCGTCTTCTGTTTTCAGAGCTCACACATGAGTTCCTTCAGATCCTGGAGAAGACGCCCAGCAGGCTGAAGAGGATACGAAACTGGAGGGTAAGTCCATAAATTAATGAAACTATATGAACGCAGTACAAGACGATATGGTACAGATTCAGACAAATGAAGCCTCAGTATCTAATGTTGAATGTGTTTGTGGTTTTTAGGCTATTCAAGCAGCAAAGAAGCCAAAGACAGAGGGCCCATCAGTGGACAGTGCCTTCCAGGGGACGTCCTTAGACGGCCTTCCTGGTGTCACCAACTCCTTCTTCCCCTCCACCTCCTCATCAGACTCCTCAGACATGCCCTCCCTCAACAACATCGCAGTCCCCTTTGGTTCCTACCAGCCACTGAGCGACCAGTCAAAGTCCTGCGGCTACGAGCAGTTCTCTGAGCCTCACCCATCAGACTTCACACTGGTGAAACACGAACACAAAGCTGCAGGCGGGTCGAGTAAACAGCAGCCGCTCGCTACAAATGCCGCCACTTTTTCACGGCCGCAGAAAGTTTTGACTCTGGAGAAGTACAGAGAGAAACATGCGGCGGAGCTGGCCATGCAGAACGGTATAAAGGATGAGGCGGGCACAGACATGTACACGCCTCCTCCAGCTCTCTCCTCACACCACCACAAGAAACGCTCTCAGCCACAGCAGGCCGGCCAGTCTGGTGACGGCAGGAGAGAAAAGTCCAGCTCTAAAAAGTCTCGGCAGCCTCCCTCTTTCGAGAACGGCTCCGCTACTAGCGAGGAGCTCAAGATGAGAATCAAAGTTTCATCAGAGCGTCACGGAGGCTCAGAGCAGGGCGGGACTCTGCCTGGAAAGGACAAGCACAAAGAGCACAGTGGCCACCGTCACTCGAAACACGGCCACTCGCACGCTTACTCCCTCAGCGGGAACGGCAGGGGGACAATAGACAACCAATCCTTATCTCTACGAGCCCCCAGCGGCCACGACGTGAGCTCCTCCGGCTCGTCTCGTAAGAGGCCTCACTCTGACGCCGGAAACCACAACCACCACCACTCGTCCAAGAGCCGGAGCTCCAAAGGAAGCCTCGGCTCGTCCCACTACTCGTCAGAGAGCGCCCAGAGGATGATGGAGCACCACGGCCACGACGGAACCAACGGCCTGCTGACCTCCAACGGCCAACACACCGACTACAAAGACACTTTTGACATGCTGGACTCTTTACTAAGTGCCCAAGGAATGAACTTGTAACCCCCGGAGAGTCCACAGTGTTGTCTAGAATAAGGTATTACCATGTTTAATAGAATTTTAAAAAATGAATTTATTTGTCTTAAGTTATCTGAATTCTGCATCGCCCTCAGTCGTGTCTACACACTGATCATTGATGATTCTCGTTGAGCTGTCAAATGTAAAATTATATGCATAGAGCTGTGTACTACTAGCTTGCAACAAAAACAAACCACGAGAAATTTGAAGAATGAGGCTGGAAAAATGGGATTTTAAACGTTCTTTAACGCGAGCTGACATGATTTTAATGTGCATGTTTTCAGTCACAAAAGGGAAGACATAGCTAGTGTTCGCAGCCATTGTGACAGTTTACAGACAGTTAATGTTTTTTTTTTTTTTTTTGTATGTTAAAGACATTTTGTTCCACTAAAAATCTCAGGTCTTGAACTTTTTTGATATAAGAACGAATCTTCCTCTGTTTGGGTTTATTACCTGTATCTGTGGAGATGTATCACCTCGTCCATTTGTTGACGAAGAGGGCAGAACTTTAGCATCTGTCTTAGGAAACATGGTCTGCTTATATTTCAAAGAGTGCATCAATAGTTCCAAAAAACAATACAAATGTGAGGCCGACTCCATTTGCTGTCTATTTGCTGTCTATTGGGATTTCCAAGGCCGCACCTGAACTTAATGTGCAGACTCATTATAGAGCTACAAATGAAGTTTACGTTACATCTGCTGTGAAAGTGCATTTAAGATATATCGGCTAAAATTGCAAAAAGGCCTCGTGATTGTACTTCGTCAATCGCTATTCAGTATGATAAATGTTATTAACTATCAGAAAATACAGATCTCTAAAATAAGATTGTGTATATAGGACTGTAGTTCAGATCTAAATCTGTTGGTTTATTGCATCAGTCCAAACCTTTCTCCATTCAGTGTATCATGAGATCTAAAGCAGACTGTATTGATGAACATATCCTCGATTTGTGTATTGGGAGCCCAAATAAAGGTGTAAAAGTGACTTTTCTTTTCCCACATTACAGTGAATTTCTCTTCTAAAGTGTCTTGATGAGAAACCAGAAACATTGATTTTACCCTTTGTTGGTTACATTTGGTTGGGGAGGGACACCTTTCTGCAAAGTGATGTTGAACTTAACAAGCAAACCTTTTAAACAGGAGTTGGTCTCCAAGGTTTTAGAGTTTGTTTCACTTCTGAAAGCTACGTTTTGTATTGAAAGGGCTGCAACTAAAGAACTTTAGTCTAAAAATGTAAGCAAATACTGGAAATTAGATTTTTCTTTTTTTTACATTGATTAATTGACTCAGTAGTTTTTACTAGGGCTTTCAACTTCAATTCACTTTCTTCCTCTGTGTACAATAGATTACAATAACTTTACAAAAACCCAGAGATGATTGATTGCAACAATGGACGTGTTGTTCCAGCCTTTAAAATGTGCATATTTGCATATATAGCTCTGGCTTTCAACCAGATCTCATGGTCTTGATATCACGATAGATTATATTTTTGTTCTTTATTACCTTATCTAAAACCTGGTGATATAGTCTCTAGGGAAAAATCTTGTAAGTCAACCTCGAGTTTAGTTAATTTTTTGGTCCAACTACTTATTTCATTATTTTTCCGAGAATAGTAGGAAGTAAATTCCCTTTTTTTAAAAATCAGTTTAACTCTGAACCTTTAAACCTTTATTGATTAATCAAACACTGATCACACGACAAAGCCATCCCCAAAAAATATTCCATTTCTGGACTGTTTCTTCTTATTTATGTTGCAACAGAGTTGTCTCTCTGTGGTGTATGCGGGGTCCTCCTCCCCTGTCAAATCTGAACAGTTCTTAAACCCCGTCTGACGTTCTAAAATCAACAGGAAGTACTCGGGGTCGCCTCGACTCAAGTTTCGCTCTCGAGTTTAAAAACGGCGTCCTCAGTGCAAAGAAAACCTTAAGCCCCTAATTTTGGCCTGGAAAGCACATATAGCGTGCAGAAATGAAAAGAACTGCCAAATCATGCAGATGGTTTAATCCCAGCCTCATAACATTGGATTTATTCCCCATTGAATTTAAGCCCTCGCTGCATTTGAAGATAAAACACTCGCCAAAGAAAATTCTCATCAAAACAGAATATACAATGGTCATTTTCTGCTGTCTTTCTGCTTACATACAGTAGATTGATTGATTATGTAACGGGCTACTTACTGAACAGTAACCACCGTATCAGCTTTCAGCACAGGCTATGTTTAAGGCAGCCATATTGGAGCTCTAACAGAGTGCTGAAGTGATTAGTACTTGGGTTGCTGCACTGATGAATTAGTAATGTTAATAGTAGAGTAACAAGGCACGGTTGCAAATGCATGTTGAGACTGCTCGAGCAGAATAGTTCAGTGAGTTTGAGCTTTTAGAGTTTTGAATTTTGCATGATTGTATCTTAATAATTGTAGAAACTACGGGAGATAAAATGTCATCTTATCCTTTTAGTCGCTGAATTACCTGGAGGGCATTTTTCTTCTTTTGTTCTTGCCAAAAGGAACAAGCAGGAAAGACTGTTGTTTGACAGTGAAACCTGCCATTTGGTCCCTCCAACAAAGCTCAAGGGGTTTTCAAGGTTTCGCTTTACACTCTCACACAATACAGCGTTGATGCTTCATTTGTGGGTGGAACATAAATCCAGTTCCTGATAATTAACTAGCACCCTCAGAGCAGACGCAGCGTTTTCACCAAGTATTACCTTCTAATTTTAGCGTGGAAGACAATGGGGAAATTCAGCGGGAGCACGTCAGTGAAAATTCAACCATCTGGACATTCTCGCATACTGGTGGGAGGGTGATGATTTATTTTCAGCAACCTCTCGAGCTGAATAAGAGACGCCTACTGCTCGAAAATCCGCAGAGAGGAAGAGATATGAGAGCGGCTTTTGTGAGCAACAAATCCCAGAATTAAGAGCCATCTGAAAGGAAAACACCGTCCAAGCTCTAATTACAACTCAAAAGACAGGAACATATATAACTGCGTGCAGGCAAAGGTCCCAGACACAAATACCATTATTAGTGATTGTTTCAGCAGGTAAGACAGCAAATTAAAAGTTAATGGATGTTGAAGTTGCACTTTAAAGGAAGACATTTCATCCAGCTGTGACAGATGAATGGACACACAAAGATGACAGCATCATTGAAATATATTTAGTTTGGAACAAGAATAATCAGTATTGGCAGGCATTTTTCACAGAATTTCATCTTCTGATGTACAACAAAAAGCCTTCTCCGTGACATGAGGTGCCTCTGGTCCATAGCTGCTTCACCACCACGCGTCCACTAGATGGCAGTATTACCTTTGGCCTTCAATGCCGGCAGGGCAGATCAGCAGCAACACAAACATCCAGCATCGTTTGCTCTGTTTTTTAGAGGAATTTTTTAAAGAAAAGCAAACAAGACGCAGTGTTGAATAACCTTGAAAAAAGGACGCCGTCTTTCGTGCCATAAATCCAAGGTGCCTCTCAGCACACTTTGTGATCCTCAGTCACAACCATCACACACACACACACGCGTCAGCTCTCACCGTCGCCAACTTTGGACTTGATCCATCTAATTAACAGATTCAGATAACCTGTCGGACGGCGGAGGCTCAGAGGCATTCCAGGAAATGTCACGGCACTTGGTAATTTCAACGGTGGAGTTGATCAAAAGGCCTTTGCAGAGCAGCATATGGTGCACTTATACCAATATGAGTCTTAATGCAAATGATGCCCAGGAAATTGTGCAGGAAAGTGGCATAATTATAAGCCATTGAAAGTCCATTGTCATTCCTGTCTGAGAGGTCTCTCTTGAAAAATCAGGAGCTGATGGAAACCCCTCTAAGTACCTGAGATAGAGCCGGAGGGGGAAAATGACTGGGCTTGGGCTGCCATTATGCCATGGTAGTGCAATTATATCCAATGATTGGCAGGAGCATAAATTAGCCTCTGTCTTCATGATGTGGTTTACTTTTTGTTTCCAACCAGTGCTAAGGTATCCCTTTTTCACATGATAAAATAAAAAGTGCTGTAGTGCTCTCTTTAGCCAGCTGTTCTCAGTGAAAAACAAGATATTATTTCACAGTTTTTCCTCTGTAATTATTCCCTTTACTACCCCAGTTTATTTCTCCGCCCGATGCAAATGCATCCTCTCGTGGTCTGAACACCAGAGATTCATGTTTGTGGTGGGAACCGCAGAGCACCAGCTGTCCTTTAAAAAGAGACGGCTAAAAAAACACACACACACACACACACAGTTGATGTGAAATGTCTTCCTCCCTACTCGTCCCCAATCATCAATAATTCACCGGCTTCGACATTTGAACTAATTATGGTGCACCAATGGCCTATTTGAGCAGGGTCCTGTCAGATGAAAGCTGCTAGGTCCTTCCTGTCAGCGGTGGAGGCAGCAGAATGAAGCGACAGCAGTGGAGGCTGAAGCCATTAAAATGAATGGAAAGCACCTCTAACAATCATATACCTCTGACACACACACACACACACACACACACACACACACACACACAAACAGGAACTACTGCCTTGAATACACACACACACATTTTAACATCGTCCTTTCTGCCTCACACACACTCACAGATGTAGCACTCTGACACAAACACACAAATAAAGAAGATGAATTGCGGCCTCACACACACCCACACTCATACAGACACATACAGACATGCATAAACATGATGTGCTACAGTAGCTCACGCACACACGCGCACACACACACACACACACACACACACACACACACACACACACACACACACACACACACACACACACACACACACACACACACACACACACACACACACACACACACACACACACACACACACACACACACACACACACACACACACACACACACACACACACACACAGTGACGTGCCCGCCACCTGTGTGGGTTGTTTGGCCTCCTCATCCAGACCTCTCTGGTTTTAATTAGCCTGCTGCTGAAGTGTTTTCCTTTTTATATTCTCTGAAGGGCGATGATAACGGCTACAGCAGAGATGGAGGCTCTCTGCTGGTTTGTTTCATTAGGGAGAGCATAATGACCCTGCAATCACAACACCAAGAAAATACCTACCCTAATAATTATTTTCCTCCTAATGGTTCAGTTTAGACTCTGCTGTGGCTTTTGTCATCAGTGCCTAAACAACTGAAAGGATTTACAATAACAACAACTACAACAACAATAATCATCATCATCATCATCATCACCATCATCATCATTGTTGTCGTGTTTTGTTGAAATTGAGTTTTCAGTTTTTGTCAGATACGATCCAAATGTATTTAAGTTATTCAAATCGGTACAGATGTATGGATTTAAAGGAATGATTTGACATTTCGGGACATACACTCTCTTGCTCTCTCACGGTGACGTAGATGAGAAGATCAAGCTTATGTCTGTACACTAAATATAAAGCTAGAGCCAGGAAACTGTTAGCTTAGCTTAGCTTAGCGTAAAGACTGAAAGCAGGGGGAAACAGCTGGCTTGGCTCTGTCCAAAAACCAGGACACAGCTCTAAAGCTCACAGTTTCACCACGCTTCCTGTCTTTAAGCTTAGCTACGCTAATCACCGGCTGGCTCTGGCTTCAAAATTACCGTACAGACACGGGAGTGGTGTCGGTCATCTTGTCTAACTCCACTATTCCTCTAAGTAACTGAGAGTCAAAAAAGAGTCAGAGAGAGAGTATGAAAATTATATAAATCATACTGAATGCTATGGGCTTCAGTCACCAAATCCCAACTCAAGTGAACATCCGTTTTGAAGATTTTGGAGCGATGTGTTAGACAATGATCTCCACTACCGTCATCAACACACCAAACTGAGGAAGGTCCAGATCTATTCAAAGGAGAATTGAAGCCGTTGGTGGTCCAACAACTTACTTAGATACATTCTGTTGTTTTTTCCTTTAATTTGTCTCCCATCTGTATGCAAATACTTGATGAATCCACAATAATTATCACCCGACTCTTA